GACACGTTGCATCCAAGCGTGGGTGCGGGTTTGAATTTGGGCCGAACGTGACCAAGCAGTTTTGTGCTCTCAACCACTTGCGCCTTGTGATTCGGTCGCACGAGTCGCACGAAGAAGGGTGCTGCTGTTCATGTCGATGCGCATGTGCTTATCGGCGGCGGTAGATTCGAAGTCATGCACGACGGACTCATCTTGAGTGTGTTTTCAGCGTCGTCGTACTGTGGTTTCCAAGCCAACAAAGGTACCAATCGCGGTCCGAATCGGCCATCACGACCACATGATAGGCGCGTACGTGGTGCTCACGGACGAGCTCAAGCCATACGTGGTCCAGTTTCACTCGCAGGCGCTGCAAAAATTTACGTCGACACGCAACTGGCGGTACGTCCCGCCGCCACGTCGTCGTCACTCTCCCATGTGCCGTCTGGTCGAGCAGGACCCAAGCGAACCGTTTTGAAGAGCGGACGCTGTGGAGTTTGAGGGAGCTCATAGGAAAAAAGCACTCGCAGCTTGCAGCGCACTTTGCTACGCTCCCTCCCAAGGTGTCGCGGCTGCAGTGGAAGCAAGGTTATCGATCGATACCCAACTGAAACCGGGACTTGACCAGGGTCTTGGGGTAGGTCTGGCTCAAATCCTGGGCATTCCGCTGCACTTTTTGCTGTATTTGCCGCAGCTGGTGCCGCAGTCGGAGGACCGCACGCCCCTGGTGGATCTTCCACGGTAGGCGGACTCGTCCGAATGAGTGGCTGTCAACGGGGCATCTTGGCAGGTTTCTCCGCGCGAATCGACTTGACTTGCCGACGGATAAGGCATGGATGGACGCAACGATGGCGTCGATCTGGCACCAGATGAACGAAAAGAACGTGACGAAAGCGTTCGAGTACTTTGACCGGAGCCGCAAGGGTCGCATCTCGTACGACGACTTGAAGGCGACGTTGCGCGTGCTGGGCCTGATGAAACCGGAAGGGACGCTGTCCGCGAGTCCGCCTCTCACTGGGCTTTTTGCCGAGGGGCCGCCCAGTCGAGAGCACGCGACGACCGCCTTGGTGACGGAACAAATGGCGTTTGAACTCATGCACCAGTGGGACCGCAATCAAGACGGGATCGTCGACATGCAAGAGTTTGAGTTTGCCTTCTCCAAACAGATCCACAAGCAGCCGTAGATTGTGCTCCCAAAAAGGTCGCAACGTTATTCAATTTGGCGAGTTCATGGATGATGGGATTACAAAACCGTAACTTAATCTTACAAGTGCCGTGCAAACAAGAGAGCTCGGCGGGCGCTCAACTGCACTTTTGAGCGTGATGGCGAATGCACACCACATATGATCAGCCTAGAGCACTGGCAACAACGTCTAGGATCCAAAGCTCCCAGAGGAGTAGTCAGGCAAACAAGCGTTCTTCGTCGCCGTTGGAGAATCTCCGATGCGCTCGTTCTACGCAAGGGGAATGTGCATGAAAGAGGCTGTGGTGACGACCGGCGAGACGACTTCTATGTGCGAAACTTTGTCGGGTACACGCGTTTGGGGCCTCACAAAGCGCCGCTTTCGCCGAGCGCCGCCATCCCACCGATCGCATGTTTCGATTCGAGTACAGTTTGTTTTGATTGGCCCGCGGAATTTGATGTCCCAGGTATTGATTGGCTCAAACTGACTCAGGAACACACATTCTGAGCGGAATGTTGGTGACCGACATTCCCACATGACCGACAATCCGTTTGACCGTGGATCGCCTGACGAGGCTTCATCTTCCAATTGGACCTGCTGCCATGTCTCCGTCGATTCAATCCGCTGCGACTGTCGACAAACTCGGCGACCCCATTGCCCCCACTGAAGCGGTACCAGTGCACCCCCACTCAGACAACACATACCACATCCACGCGGGGGCGATCCCCGCTGCAGTCCCAGTAGTTCCTGCGACCCCCTGCCCGTGCTGCAATCCTGCCAACAAGAACAATACGATTCCACAAGCGAGCAGTCGCTCTGTCACCTATCGCTCTCCGTTTGTCTTCAGCGGCATCGTGGGGTTCGCAGGAGTGGCCCTCGTCAAGAACTTGTTCTTCTTGACCAGCACCGTCGGCGTGACGGCGTTGACCCTCATGGTACGGAGACCCATTCGAAGTGGAACGTGTCGCTTACGATCTGCGCTAGGCCCTGGGGAAACAAGGCATTGTCGAAGTCGACTGGAAAAAGCTCGAAAGCAAGTTGCACATCCCCCAGAACACGGACTGGACGATCCAAATCCCTTCAAAAGGTAACCACGGACCATCTGCGCTGCTACCCTTCGTCACCACTCGTTGTAGCTGGCCTTGTCGCAGGCATGTTTGCCGCGTGGAAATTCTTTGCTTGAACAGCATTGTTCACAATCCTCCCAGGCATTTTTACATGGAGGCACCTCGTGAGAAAAACACATAAAAGTTGAATATTTCAGAAAATTCGTTTGTTCGAGAAAAAAGACCGGCCAGTCACGAGCAATTCCAACATCACTTGACCAAATATGGAGTTCATACAAGAACACCAACCTCTCCCAATGACATTATTCACTGCCAAGACCGCCGAGCGTCGTGGAAAATACTCGGTGGTTATTTGCGCGTGCACAACATCTCATGTCAACATTTCAGGGAGGACCGTTGTGTCATATTTTGGAAGAAATGCGGGCAGAAGCGTGTTTGATACATTCATTTGTACCAGTCAGTTTTACACACAAAAGAAAAGTGTCATTTTGAATCAGAATTGGCAAAACGCTGAAATTTCGCCCCAAAGTGATATTTTTTCATGGTGTTTTGTCGCGTTTCATTCCCTGTTTATTAGAAATGCACCTCTGCATTCGTCGAATAGAGGCAACTGCCGTGATCGACAAGGAAGTGTACGCGGTCGAGTTCGTTCGAGTACGTGTCTCCATAAAGACGATGGCATTGCAAAGCCTCGCCTAGTGCGCTGCCCAACGTCCCCCATTCCAACTCGGGTCGGTGTCGATCTCTTCACTTGTGCTATTTGCGAGAACTGCCCTTCTCGTAAGCCGACACAATCCTAAGTGACGAGCCCCCGCTAGGCACTGGTTTCGGCGATGGTCGATTCATGCGCGAACGAATGCAGCGACGGAACGCGCCTTTTCTGTCGACACACAGCACTCGCGGAAGCCGACGATTTTCGTCGCGTTGGCGTGTGATGTCCAGATGGAAGCGATGCGCAGATTTTCGAGAAGGACGAGCTTCCGAAAGACGACTCAAGCGGTCGACAGCACGATTTTTGTCGTCGTGGTGGTGTCGATTGGAGAATGTATGGCCCTACACATTGCCAATTGAAACAGTACCTACACTTTGGCGCATACACTCTGTAGCCCACGACAGAAGTCGACCGCAAGACCGCATTGTTCAACTTCGAGTGAATCAAGCATGAACCAAACCACTTCTCATTGTTCCCGCTGCTGCAGCCACACCCGCGCACACGCTTCCCCAGCTCCCCCGTCGCCCCCATCCCCTCCAACACCCCCGCAACCCACCTATGTCTTTGGGCAACACAGAAGCGAGTCGAGCCCAAGTGCTGCCGCGAGAGCGCACAAGAAAGGCCAGTTCGTGACGAGTGCGATCGTTGGCTTCGTTGTGGTGCTCCTCCTCAAGAACTTGTTTGTGTTGACCAGCATCGTGGGGGTGGTCTTCTTGGCGCTGATGGTAATGCCAAGGGACGACCAAGGATTCGCTCATCGTGAGTGTTGTAGGGACTCGGAAGCCACGGAGTGATTCGTGTTGACTTTAAGAAAGCCGTGGACATGTGCAGCATGCAAGATCTGCCATCGCTGTCGGTCGTGCCGTCCAAGCGTACGTGATCCATCGGTTTTGAAAAACCCATCTGACACGCACTCGCTTCTAGCTGGTTTCATTGCGGGTGCCGCTGTAGCGTGGCATGTCTGGCCATAAGATATGCATGTTCCTCCATCTTCCACGTATTATAAATGCACCTATGCAATGCATGTGGGTCGCAGAGTCTCTCTAGAAACCCCACGCATGCGATGCACATTGCACACCTATCCACCGATCCAGACAGCAGCAAAAGAATGCCATGGGCTTTGCGGACAGAGCCAACGACTGGTGTTGCCGTCTGCAAGGTTCAAAACTGGCCGCCCCTCTGCTACCGATACGTTGCGAGGCTTTTCCATCGTTTTCTTCGTTGGCCGGCAGGGGCCACGTCTCCATCACTCCATACTTATCCTGTAGAGCTCCCATCCTCGCCGAGTTTTATCTCTGGCGCCCCCACCTCGCATCGTGATGACATGTTTTGCCCGCGACATCCCAAAGAGTCATAGTCAGATTCAGTAGTACAGTGTCGTTTTTAGCCAATCCGATGTCCCCACCAATCACAATCGGATCTGCCGCAGTCGCATTGTGGTCGTGTCCATGTCTGCGGTGCCAGCGAACCCAGATGCGAAGCTGAACGACTTCTTCGCGAAGAAGAAGAAGAAGAAGGCGACGGCAGCTGCCACCCCCGCCGCGTCGATCCCTGTTGCCGTCCCCAAAGCAGCAGTTGCTGCGCCACAGATTGTGAGTCCGACAACGAAAGGCCCGGCGATCCAGACCAAAGGCAAAGCAATCGCGGAACTCAAAACGGCCGCAGCCGACGAGGGGGCCGACGGTGACGAAAACGACGGCGAAGGTGGGGGAGGAACATCCTTCCAGTGGTCGAAGAAACCCAAGAAGAAGTCGTCCCAACCTGAAGCAGACAAACGAATTGCGATTCACAGCGAACGCGCTTTCCCGTCCTTGGGCAATGCCGCTGGAGGTGCCGCCGCGGTCGCCGCCGCCATGTCCGGCAAGGTCAAGCCCCCCGCAGATGTGCGGAGCCAGAACGTGTGGTCGAGCATCGACGACAGTGACGACGACGACAAGTAGGGTGCGTACCTCCACGTCAAGAAACGTCATGTTCATCGGATGGCGTTTCATGGAGTCTCCATTAAGTTCGTGGGCGATCCTAAGAGGGTCCTTTACCCAACATGTCATTTGCGCAGGCGCTTCAAACGGTATGGATTGGTGTAAACTCTTGTATTTTTATCTTTTTATCCAATGAACGTAATCTCATTGCATGTCATGCCATGTTTTCGACCAATAAAGCAGCATTTCGACAAGGTGCCGGGCTTGTAGTGCACCCATCGTACTTCCGCGGGTATTTTCATTACCGTCGCAGCGATCTTTAGGAGGACGTCAAAGAACAGGGAAAACGCGAAATCCGAATTCGGCCTCGCCGACGGGCCGCCGGAGCGACATGTTCTTCAGCTTGACGGCGCTTACGGACCCCGCGCTAAAGCGCCTGTACAAGTTTGTGCTCAAGCGGGTGCTTGGTCGGTTCCTGCAGCATGATCTCGACATGAGTCAGCTCCAAGTACACCTGCGGCAAGGCACACTCCACCTTGTCGAGCTCGAACTGAACGCGACTGCAATCAACGACCTTCTTAGGACGTCTGGATTGCCGTTCCAGATGAAGCGCGGGTTTGTTGGTTCGGTCAAGGTAACGGTAAGCTACACGAATATGCTGAACGAGAGCTGTCTCATCGACATCGACGACATCGACATGGTGCTCGAACCAGTGTCTGCGAGTCGCCCACATCCGACGCCAACACCACCAACCACCCCCACATCTACACCCCCAACGTCTACGATGCAACAAATCAACGAAGGAGGCAATTACGACTACGACACAGACACCGTTGCGCAGGAAGGGCTCGACTTTGTCGCGACATGGATCGAGCGGGTAACGTCCAAGGTGAAAGTCACCGTGACAAATCTATGCATCACGCTCGAAGACAGTGCGACATGCCCAGTGGCGTTAATGCTTCACGTACCATGGATGCAGCTCGTGGACGAGACGCCGCAGGAAGCGTATCCGTCCGCGTCGATCCTCAAGGGCGTTCAGTGGAAAGGCATGAGGGTCGAGATAGTGCATCTTCATCGCGATTCGATCGAAGAGACCGCTGCGCCGTTCTCGGTCGTCCCGATCCTCGTTTGTGATCCCGTGCGACCCAGTTACGTCCAGATCAAAATGTATCCCTCGACGTTGTTGGAGGTCGACCTGTTCGTGCCGCACATTGAAATGCTCATCCAGCCCAAGCACCTGGGGCATTTGGCCCAACTTGCCGCGCTCTTGTCAACGCCGCCTGCGTCCAGCGATACCCACACTCCGTCCTCGACGCCTTCTTCGAATTTGTACATGTCGATCTGTGATCCTCAGCAAGCCGCAACATGGCTCGCTCCCGACGGATCGGACGAGTCCAATACAACGGCATCGTCCAACACGCCCGACAACGGATTCCCCACACTGTCGCTGGCAGAATTCAAGCGCATCGAGCGGCTCTTGCAGCAGTACCAAGAAAAGGCTCAACGACCGTTGTCGGGATCGGCGCCGTCGGTGCTACGCCGCCAAAGCTCGTCGGAAGGCGGCGACAGCGTCGTTGGCTTGTCCGACTTGGAGGATGAAGAAGATTTGTTTCACGATTGCAATACGTCCAATTCGATGCTCGGGTCTGTTCATCACGGTTCCATGGGCCAGTCCATGTACATGAGTGCGCGACAGCCGGAAGACTCGATGGTCCAGCGGATCAAGATGACGGTGCTCAGCCTCGACATGACGATGGTGTACGAAGATGTGCTGGATGACCCAGACGAGACCGATCACCGGAACGAAGCAGGCACGCTTCCCGATGCTTCTCGGATGGAGCGGCTCGTCTGGCATGTCCAAGAGATGCTGGTGCAGGCTATCTTGCACCCACCGCAGCCCAAGAACGTCCACATGTCGTTTCATCATGTCACGTGCGAAGAGCGGTTGATCCCGCGGCTGTCGATGTCGGACGGCGACGCGGACGATGGCTCGCCGCCCGCGATGCTCGCGATCCCGTGGCTGCGCTTTCTCGGTGACGAGAAGGACGTTATGGTGCACATGCACTTGGACGCCGAGTCGACGCGCTCGACGTGTGTCGTCCACGCCCAGCCGCTCCAGGTGGAGGTCGACATGTTTATGCTGAATCGACTGCAAGCGTTTTTGAACGCCGTGCCGCCGCCGACATGTCCGACGGACGTGACACGTGGCGCGCCGATTCAAGTGGAAGTGCATCTTCCGTTCGTCCACATCCACTTGCGCTTTCCCTTGATCCCATCCGATCGAATCCGCTTTGGACCGAGCAGCCGCCGCGGCCTCGCGGAAGACACCCTCCAGCTGCATTTTCATCATGTGAAACTTGGCAAACACGCCATGACGTGGGACCAACTCCACATAGACCTACACTACCCGCCGGCCTTTAATCCGCGCGACCGAGGCCCTCCCTGCGTCGCGTCCATCTGCTCGTCGACAGTGCATGCGCAGTGCAGCTGGAGTGTACACACACCCACATTGGATAAGCTCCAGGCGGCGGCATCTGTCCGCGCAAATATGAAGGAAACGTTCGGTTCGGATGCTGAACAGGGCGAAGTCAGCATTGGTGGCGGGGTGGATGCATGGCGCCAGACAGACCTGCTTGAACAAGCATGCGTCGCGGCGTCGGCGACGGTCGTAAAGGTCCACATCCCCGACGCCACCGTCGTCATCGACAAAACCGTGTACGACCGTCTCATGGTACTCACGGACGCACTCGTTTCCATCAACCCAGTGGACATTACTGGCTTGACCAAAGTGACGACGCTCCAGCCGTGCGGGATGAGTCTCGAAATCGTCTGCGATGGCTTTCACGTCCGGCTGAAACACGAAAACCTCCCGGAGTACCGCCTCGAACTCGAACACGTCCGCATCTTTTCGTTGGTGTCGTGGCTCGGGTCGTTGACGTCGCGGCTGCATGTGGTCGCGCAGGAGCTGACCTTGTTTGAAGAAAACACGCCCGTGCTGTACAAAATTGCATGGGGACGACCGCATGAAGGTACGTGGTGGACGTTACCGCGTTGGGAGTCACGATCGCGACGTGTAGGCCCGCTGCTGCTGTTTTTGCAGGAAACGACCGAGTTGGCCGAAGACATGCGCGACATTAGCCTGCACCTGCACTTTTCCCATCTCACGTGGAGGTACATGCCATGACATGCCGTCGCGATAACGAGTATTCGTGGTGGTGGGGTGGGTGGTAGGTACGACATGGCGTCCAACTGGCTCGGTGACTGCCTCCACGTGCTCCTGACGACGTACCCCCCGGCGATTGTTCCGTTGGACACCCCGCACGGCGCGGACGATTCGATCGACATGACGCAGGCGCCGATTCCCCTCGCGATGCCGACCAAAACCGTCTTTACAAAACTCGTCGTCCAGTGCTACGAATCTGTGTTGGACTATGCGCCACCTGGGATTTCTGCGCGGGCTCTGTTGGTGCTGGGCAAGCTGTGTCTGAGCTCGAACCTGGTCACGGACGCTGCCGTCCAAGGGTAACGATGACCGCCGAGAAATCTCCTGACTGGTCAGAGCAGGTACAAAGTGAGTGTGGCCGAGCTCGGCCTGTTTGTCCATCCCATGCGCGTCACTCCGGACGTGTACGTGCTGGAAAATCGGTGGCTGGACAAGTCGGCGTCGCGGGGCGCGTTGTCGATGCGGGAAACGATTGAAAACCTCGGGTTTCTTGAAGTATCAACATTGGACTTTGCCGACGTGTTTGTCCGCGTGAGCGAAGACGACCAGATGAACTTGGAGTTGTGTCTTGGGACGATCAAGCTCAAGGTGTGCTTTGACTCGTTTGAAACGATGCGGTTGGTGTGCATCACGTGGTGGGACGAGTTTGCCAAGAATTCACCCCCGCCAAAAGCATCGACCGCGGCGCCAGTCATGTTGGTTGCCGCCGTCGACGTTGCGGACACTGAGACGGCCCCGACCACGTCGTTGAATGTGCTGGATCAAATTGACTTTAACATGTTTCAACCAAAAACGAACGCCCCGTCCGTCGCGATGCGCGACACGGAAGCGCGCCTTTTGAAAACGCAAGTCCATGAAGCGATGAAGCCGCCCGTCCAACGGCGCCTTCCGTCGACGCCCCTCGTGATAGAAGACTTTTTTAGCCACGAAACCAAGCAAGGCGGCGCCGAATCCAGTCCATGGTTCATCTCGGACACCACCCCATCTGCTACCTCACAACCATCCACCAACTCGTCTTTGTCGTCGGTCCAACCCCGTGCTGGGTCGCCTGTAAGTCGAGTTCGTGTGCGTGGTTGTGTTGCGATGCGCCGTCGTTCGGTGTGGCTCACTTTGCGGTGGGTAGGCACTAGTGGAGGCAAGTGCGAGGTGGATTCCGCCCGAGGCTGCCGACGTCAGCGAGAGTCTGCCCGTGCACTTTGAGTCGTCGTTCAAGGCCGTGGACGAAGAGTTCGACGACGACGTGACAGACGACTTGACGATGAGCGTGAGTATCAATGACACGGAAGAGGTCGAGTTGGATCTCCATTTGGATGGAGACATGCGGCTGGAGCTTAATCGATTGCTGGAGGAAGAGGACGACGACCCTGCTATCCTCACAGAGGACGAAGAGGCGAGTCCCCGGCACAGCGTGCTCAGTCCGCCCGACTCGCCCACGTCCAACGAAAACTCGGGTACGATGCGATCCCATCGTGGATCGTGGCCTGACAGGCGTTTTGTAGCTCGGTGGTACAGCGACGGTAACTTTGGCAATCCCGACCCGCCGGCGATTTACTTGCACCACGTGGAAATTCCCATCGCTGGTGCGGCGGCCGCCCTGTCATTTGGAGAAAAGGAGCTGGCGTCAGCGATCCAAACGATGACAAAGTACAAACTCGATCGGTGGTCGTCGTTATGCTCATGTCGTGGTGGTGTAGCGAGTGTCCCCAGATGAAGACGCCTGTCATGGTAAAAAGCATCTTGCTGCGGGACTTCAACGTGGAAATGCGGCTCTTTGGCGGCCATGACTGGCAACCATCGTCGTCGGCGGCGCCAACGGTCGCAGCAACGACCCCCGACAAAGCCTCGACGGAAGACAAGGCGGAGAAGAAGCAAAAGTTGCTCGACGCGTTGCTCGAAAATTACGTGGACGATTCTGACAAGCTCTTGAAAAATAAACCCAAGTCACGACCGTCCAAGCACCGAAAAACGGAGGAAATGCTCGAGCTGCGCCTGGCCAACATCAAGGTGAGGTTTGCGTTCGTATTTCCGTTGTACGAACGTGGTCGTGTTGTAGCTGCGGCTGGACCTGTACGCCGAGGACACACCGCAACCGCTGGCGCAAAACACGGTGCTCCACGTCGGCGACGTCGAAATTCTCGACTACATCAGCACATCTCAAATCCGAAAGCTGCTCTGCTACTGGAAGAGCGACACGTTTCACCCCCGGGAAACAGGCACGCCGCTCATTCACTTGCACCTTGTGACGGTGCGGTCGACCATGTCGGCGGAAGAAGAGCATCGCCTCAAGCTCAAGTTCCTTCCTTTGCGTATCAACTTGGACCAGGACGTGTTGGATTTTCTCAAGCAGTTTAGTCGGCCCACCAACAGCGAGAGTCCGCCAACCGACGACAGCGCGGCATTCCCAAAGCCCGACTTGCCTGTCCCGCTGCACGCCCCCACCGTGATTAGTGAAAAGCCGGAAATGGCACCGGGAGCCGCGTCGTTTTTCTTTCAGAGTGTGGACATTCGGTCGTTCAAGATCAAGATCGACTACCGCCCGCAGGTTGGACACATGCAATGGGACTTGCTGCAGTTACCATGTGCCTGTAGCGAGTGGATTTTCAAGCGCTGCAAGCGGGCGACTACTTGGAAGTGATCAATTTGTTTGTGTTGGAAGGGATGGAGCTGTCTCTACGGCATATCAAGTTGAGCGGTGTCAGCAACTGGGACGCGCTGATCAATCAAACGTTGGTGCATTGGGTCCAAGACATTTCCCGGTTCGTCGGGACTGAAACACTTGGACGATGGACAGTCCCTGATCGATGTTATCCAGGCATCAAATTCACAAGTGCTTGGCGAGTGTGGTGCCGATGCGGTCGATCTCAAACATCGGGGCAGGGGCGGCAGACTTGATTCTGCTCCCGATGGCCCAGTACGGAAAGGACCGGCGCGTCATTCGTGGTCTTCGAAAAGGTCCATGCAATGGTTGATCAACCCGCCGAACGGAGCTCATGCTTTCGTTTCATCGCAGGCGCCACGAGCTTTTTGAAAAGCGTGACGATTGAGACGCTGAACACGGCGTCCAAACTCGCGCGGGGCACGAAGTCGTTGCTAGAGACTGCAGACCACGTCATGCAAGACTCGAAAAAGAAGAAGACCCAGTTCAACTCGCGCAAAGGCAACACCCACGCACGGTACTTGATCAGTCAACCCGCAAATGCCACGGAAGGGTGGAACCAAGCGTACGCGTCCATGTCAAGGGTACTTGCGTTTTGGATCACACGAGTTTTGAAATGCATGGGTGGACGTAGGAGTTGCATGTGGTGGCCAAGACCATCGTCGCCGTGCCTTTGCTCGAGTATCAACGGACGGGATCGCATGGGTACAGAATCGCTTGACGACAACGCGTAATTGGTGACGGAGCGGTCGTCGTGTGTTTAGGTATGTCAAGAGCGTGATTCGAGCGGTGCCTGTGGCCGTCCTGCGGCCGATGATCGGCGCCACGGAAGCCGTGTCGAGGGCGTTGATTGGTGTTCGAAATGCCGTCGATCCTGAGATGAAGGAGGATATGGAAAACAAGTTTAAAGACATGTCGTAATGTACCGCGAGTGGCATACGTGGAGAACGGCTGTGGACCAATGTCATTTCGTCATCATCAAGGTGGTGGACCGAAGAAGGCAGGCAAGGCACGTCCGCCAACAAGCCGTGGCAGGATCGGTGCATGTAGTCGAGTCCAACTGCATGGCTGTGCATCGTATCCAAACAAGGGCCATGAACTGCATATCCTGCTGAACCGGGGCACGGTCTTGCCTTCGCGCCACATCCTTCGTGCCATGATTGATGGACTTTGCCCTGTTGATCGCACTTGACTTGAAACACTGCATGCAGGACGAAACCAGCGTCAGATTCCAAGATGCATAGAGTCGGTATAAGAACGCTAGATAAAATCAGTACGAATACAACATACAAGATGGAAGAATGCAAAAATCATATGCAACGTCCTCAAGCTTGCAAACAAAGGACCTCGAGACAAACACCGGAGCCATTCGCCATGTCCACGACACTAGCTGCGTGTGATCGCGCCAAGGCGGCGCTGGACGCCGTCAAAGCCATGGTCCCGGACTCGGCGCTGGCAGAGAAGTTGCTCAGAAGGCGCTTGTACAACCGCGAACAGCAAAGACGCCATCGATACCACAAAGCTGAAGAAGCCGCACGACTTCGTATCGAAGTTGCTCGGCTCGAGGATAAAAAAGCAAAGGTCGCGGACGGCAGGCATGTTGATGAAACGGACACGATGCTTCCGTGGAAGGAAGTGTGTTGTGCGATCCTAGAGTCGATCGAAGACACGAGCCAAGCGAATCGCAGCTTGCAAAAACGCAGTCGTCGCAACCAGGACCTGATACAGCGCATCACATCTTGGATCTCGAGCTGTCGGGTTCCGATTGTGGTACGAAAACAACAACACTGCATGTCGATGACCCTATGAAACAATTAGAGTCATCTGGACGACAAGAGAACGTGGCGGCATGTCACCCTACTCAGTCATCCCCCCACCAGGAAACTCGGCTTCGACTGGATTACACAGCAATTGTACTACAACGCGAATCCAATGTTCCAGTCGAACAACTTTCCATCGCTTGCATCACGTGAATACCTTGGGGATTTCCATTGCGACACCTCCGTTGACGACTCGTTCCAGTATACGTGGCGTGTTCAACGGGACCTGCACATTCCATTTGACCAAGTCGTCCGCACAATTCAAGACAAAGTCGTGCATTACCTCATTGGTGCAGCTTGGTCCAAGGAATGGTCTACCGTCAACGTTCTGCCGCCGGTTCCATTAGATACCCCAGTACGTATCGGGCTCGGTTAGAGACGCTGACATGCTTGGTTGACTCTAGTTGCTTCGAGAAATCGGTGGGAAAATTGCCTATGGACGAACGCATCGCAGTGCCGACGAAGACGTGAATTTCCTGTGCCGCGAGTTCTCGGAAGATGGAAAAATCACGATCGTGGCACAACACATTCATGACGACGAGAACCTCCAACAATGCAAGGTGCAGTGCAATCGAATGTTCTGGTTCGTCGCAGTCCATGCCCGTCAAACTTTGTAACATTGTTTCCTCTTCAGGGTGACCGTGGATCGCATATCTGACGACATCTCGACGTTGCGGGTCCTCTTTTTGAGCTCGCACTACTTCAACCAGGAAGGCAGCGTGCCGTTCGAAGAAGAGTGCCATTACCATTGGGGTCTGGACCTGAGTCACATCGAGAACAACGGCGTCAAGCTGGCGGCCTTCCATCAACACATTGCCCGCGCCGGCAATGAATTCGTTGGCGCCCTTGTGCCTCTCCTGGACTGTCCTTGAATGTTGCAGTTTCCGCGCGCTTTGAAATGGAAAATACCTCTCATATTTAATAGATTGACCTCCCATACTCTATTTTGGTTGAGCGTGGGTCGTGAAAGTGTCGCGTCGGTTGCCGTGAATCGGGGACGCCTCGAAGTCTATGGACGCGATGGTTGATCCCATGGACCGCACCGTCTGAATCTTCCCTAGATGTCGGATGTACCCACTATATCGTCGGCGCTCGAGTACAGGAAGAGCTTGGGGTGACCGCGTCGCGAATGAAGTATCGCAGGGACTGAGCCGAGGGATGCTTTCGGCCGGTTACCCACAACAACACGTGGAGGAATTTGAGGATCTACCGTTGCACGAACAGTTGTGGTACGACATGGTGCAGAAACGGCATTGCTTGGGCATGAAATGTAATCGGTCGTCCGCGAGTGCGTCCGGGATCGACGAGCACGAGTCTAACACCCTCGACACCACACGGAATGGCGCTTGGAGGACTTGGTTCTCCATACCATGATCGACACCTGCCTTTGGACATGACATGTGCGATATGGTTGCGTGAGGTTTGCACGCACAGAGCATGGTATTGAATACATTCCACGACGGCAACATGAACGCATGCTCTGGAAGGAAGAAGTCAATTCAGTGGGATGGGAACCAAAGTTCAAGCTGCCCAAGGATTTATACACGCGCCCATCGACTTGCGCCTCGTCGGCATGAGCTCATCTACAGACCCAGTGACGGCGATTCCTGTCAACTTGGTGTCCGTAGCGATTTGGATTGAAGAAGGTATTCGGATTGGTCGAAATTCCAAGTATTTCATTCCAATAATCTGTATGATTGGCTTCTTGATATTGTATTTAGCCAATCGAAAGCACACGATACAAACGACATGTACAACGTCCAATGGACATAGTAGGTAAAACAGGTTATACTCGTTGGCGTAAAAGATGAATGCGTGGCGAGGCACACCAATGCGCAACAGGACGAAGGGCAAATCGTTGAATTTGCTCGAGATTCGCATGAAAGGAGGCATCGTCGCGACAGAAAGCACCCAAACACATCGCACAACGCCCGAGTCATCGTCGAAGGGTGCCCCGTTTGCAGTTTATCCGGACGCATACGGGAACTGTACAGTATCTCAAGTGTATGTGTGCAACTCCGCAGGAAGAGAGGTGTTACGATTTACCCGTTGCAACACTGGACGAAGGGTCGGTGGGGGACATTATCCAATAGCAACCTCTCCGTTGACGCGACAGACGTCCATCGACAGGACCACTGACGCTATCGTTTCAGCTTCGTGCGCTTTCGACGAGGCATGCAAATGCGCCAGAAACGGCCGACGTGGCTGCGACTCGATATCCGGATGTCACCAAATTGCAGGAAGAGACGTCCCAGTTGCGTTAAACCAATAAAACCAGTGCGGAAAAATAGGTAAGAGAATCCAAGACGCAAAATTCGGCGAGTGCGCCGTGATGAGCAACGGGAGCACGGACAACGAGGATGCGGACCTCCCGACCCTTGACGAGGACCGCGAGTTGCGCAAGAAGATTCTGTCGAGGAGGAAGCAGCAACGGTATCGCAAGCGGATCGTCGCCGACAACGACGGACTTCGCGCGCACGCTCGTGATTTAGAGCGGGAACTGCATCGACTCAAGGCCGAGACGAAGCAAAGCGATCTCGTCCCACATGTATTGCCATGGCAGCAGGTTGCGAAAGCCTTGATGGAGGAGCGCGATTCGTCCCTGGAGACGAACGCGTTTCTCAAGGCAAAGTGTCGAAACTACCGCGACGTGATTGCGAAGCTCGGCGAATGGGCGCAGACAGTGTTTGGTCTACCGGTATGACATTTCGTCGCATCTCATTCTGACAACATCGTGACATGTAGACACAGCCACGAACGGACATCAACACGTGGCGCACCGTGCGACTGGGAACCGACCCCATGCTGCGCGGCAATGGAATCGATTGGATCACACGTCACCTCTATCACAACACGGACGCGATGCTGGAGCGATATCGCTTCTCTGCGATTCCATCTCGTGGTGTGTACAGTGAGGACGACATCGACGTGACCGATTCGGACGGGTTCCGCTGCATTCACCGGTTCCACGGCGATGTCGCACAGTCCGTGGAAGGCATTGCTTCAGCCTTGCGCAGCAACATTTGGAAGTTCCTTCTCGTAGGGATGCTCAGCACGATGGAACCTGAGGTAAATCTTCACTTGTTCTCGATACCCCATGTTTCCAACTCGACGTCTCTTTAGACGATTGGCGGGGGCGGCGGTGGACCGGCCGACATTTACCGCCATACGCTGCTCAGCACGGTCGAGTCGGTGAATCTCGTGAGCCGGGAATTCAAAGACGCTCACCGAACGACCTTTGTCGGTGAGCAAGTTGAAGACGACGAAGCATTGCCGACCGACGGAAAGCGCCAGCGGCGACGCTTGCTCTGGTACATGGACTGCAAAGTACCTACGACGAGCTAACACGGCTACGTGCACAGGATTGTCCTGGACGAACTCGCGCCGATGCTGACCAAGGTCCGAGTGCTCTTCATGCTATCGCACTCTTTCACGAAGCAGGGCTACCTGCCGCTCGAAGACGAAGCCAAGCTGTGGGGGTGCACCCTCGACGGCGTAACACCGACTGGCGACTCGTTCAAATACGCAGACGACGCCACGATCAAGGCGCAGGTATTCAAGCGCCACGTCAACCAAGTAACCCAACGCTTTCGACTGATGGGCCAGAAGCGGTTTGTGAGTGCGCTGACCCCGGCCCCCGATCACCGTCCTGGTACTCCCATCCTCCTTACCGAGTGATCGTCGGTCTCTCCGCCAAGCCACCCGTGTAACCCTTGTTTGAGCGTTTGGATTTGTCATGTTGTCAAAAATTCGTTTCTCTCCTGTTCCGTCGCACGTTCGGCATCTCTCCCGTCGACGCTTCTTGGCGGCGGCTCAGCGATGTCGCCCCTCTTGGACTTGATGACCGCGTAGCCGACGCTTTGTGCATTTGCCGCGACTTGATATCCACGAGAGTTTTTTCATTCTCGACGACGTTGACTCTGGCAACTCGATTCAACGGCGCCACCTTGCGGGACACGTTGACGTGGTGGGCGACCCGCGTTACGGCATTCCATCGAACTGCCGACCAAGTTTTACATGCCGCGGCATGGAACGTGGATGCAATCGTTGGGACAATAGTCATGGGCAAGCACTGGCATTCCCCCACGACGACGCTGGAGACTGTGCCCCCCCCCATGCACCTGCACCGCGACGCGAGTAAAGTGGAGTTGGTATTTGATGGATAGCACACGGGTGGAAGCAAAGGAGGACATTCTCCGATGGATCTGTCCAAGTCGGGGATACACGTGCTTGGCTCGATCTCTCGGCGATCCAGCGAGCCGTGGAAGCAGCACCTCTCTCGATTCACACCACTCCATGTCATGCACGCACGAATCCCTCGGGCGTTCCTGCCCATCTGCGGCCTCCACACGCCATATCAGAGAACTGCTGTTCTCTGACGTGGCGTGTCCAAGGGCGTCGTTGTCGATGCACAATCGCGTGCGCCATGCTTCCGTCCGTTATCGACGGCATCTTGTCGCCGCCACGTGCAACACAAAAAACATTTATACTGTTTCAAGATCGCTCGATGTAACATTGGACCATTTTAATTTCCATTTTTATAAAGACTTTCGATATGAAACAGTATAGAAATTCTTTATAAATATTGAAATGAAAATGACAATATTTTAATAAATACACAACTGTAGAAAATTTAATATGCGCGGCATGGGATAAAGCCGTTACAATCGACCCATTCGAACGTTTCGCTGGGTGTCCAAGGGCGGCGGTTGCCGGTTGAAGTAGGCTGCCGTGCGCCGCCCCACGTCGTCGGAGAACCAAACGGACGCGATGGCGTGCCATGCGATCACTTTTCAACACGCGTCCACACGACCAAGACCCGCTCCCCCAACCGCTCTGCTACGATCATGGTGACATCCAATGCAAGCGACGCCGCCGTCATGGCGTTCGCCCTCAAATTTGTCAACTCGGCGCCCAAGGAAAAGCTCATCGCGGAGCTCGACGTGTCCGACACAATCGCGACAAAAATCGTCGACCAGCGCGACTTTGGCGGGTACAAGACCCTCGACGACATTTGTGAAAAGAAGCTCCTGCGCAAGAAGAAATTCGTCGTGTTTCGCGACCGTCTGCTTGCGTATTCCCGAGACAACAACCCATCGGACAAACCGACCCTCGGCGAGGACGGCGACGAGATGACCACGTCCAAGAAGGGAAAGAAGAAGGGGGCGGCGGGGTCTACATCGATATCGTCCAAAGACGGCGCCGCGGCGCCACCCAAAAAACACTCGTTCGTCGAAACCGAGCCCCTCACGCTCCGGTTTGGGTACTTGATCCAACGAGTGGACCCTCCCGCGGATGTCGTCCACGACCCTGCGTCGGCCGAAGCGTACTAGCCAGCGCAGTCGAGGCAACGACGTGAATGCATCGCTTGTAACTTTATATCCAGCTCCTCCTTGTCATCGCAGGCGCACTCTACACACATATCGGTCAAAACTCGATCCAATCTCCGTGTTGTCGATTCGATATATCCGCAACAACGCCCGAGGCAGGAGCACTCGGCTCCACGCTAGCTCGACTTCGATCGCCAACGAACTCGTCGCGCACTAGACGTATAGCCAGCCCCGCCGCCGACGTGGTACGTTGTCGCCTTCCCACTGCTTGTACTCTTTGTTGGTCAAGATGTATCGCATTTCTTGGAGCTTCATCACGTTTCCCGCGTCGCCGTACGCGTCGGCCGCCATTTTGACCATAAAGCGCTTTGGGTGGAGCTCGGCGCCTTTGTCGCATTGCCACCGCGTCTGCAAGTCTTCAAAGAGCGAGATGACCGTGACGTGGTCTCCGAGTCGCATGGCGATGAACATCCCGAGCTCCGTCAATCGATAACCTGCCATGGTACGTCATGAAATGTCGGATCCAAGCCCGTCGCCACGCTGAGCGAATGTTTGCACGTACCGATGGGAAGGTCGGGGTTGGTCTGAATCGTCTGGATAATCTGGAGCGCCTCCTTGGCCTTGCCCATCTCGTACAGCCATCGCACGGCGTGCTCCAGCGCAGGATACGAGAGCGTCTCGCCCGACCGAAAGGCAAACGTAAACAGTTCCATCACGCGCTGGAATTCCATCGCAGTCCGACCGCCCTTGTCGTGAAAGTGCCGGTAGCCAAAGATGAACAAGTCCGACAGCCGGGACCCGTTCCAGCCGTGGGTCACGTCTTGGTACTCTGAGAAGAGCGCCGCGATGTCTTCGATATCGAGCATTTTCGTCCACCCGGCGAAGAGGCGGTACCGACCCTTGCCCGACAACTTGCCCAGTTTGTGCATGTGCATCAAGTCGAGGAGTTTCATCGACATGTCGGCGTTCACGGGTGCGGCTTGGGTGAGGAGCATGTTGGCGAGGCGGAACTTGAACGATCGGGACGGCGTCGGCAGCGCGACGATGTCTTCGACAACTTGGACAGCTTCTGACTGCAACCCAGCGTGCCATACCCGCAAAAGGGCCAGCTCGTACGCTTTTTCGCATGCTGGGGTGAATGCGTCGTAGTGGTGGTGGGCGTCCCACAGGTCAAGGGCGCGGCGGATGGCGGCCACACGGCGGGGGGAAGGCGAAATCGATGGCGGCGACGTGGATGATTGCGACGGCGGAGACGTTGGCTGGCCCGCCGCGTCCAACAAGATGTGGCTCAAGAGCGACACGGAGATGGGGAACCCAGCGTCGGTGGCCGATTCCGCGATCGAGAGCGCTGTCAAGGGCGGACACGCATGCCGGCATTTCACCGCCGTCGAAATCAAATAAAAATAGGACGGACCGTCGGGGGTGATGTGCGCCTTCGTCGTCATGGCATCCATGATAGTTTTGGCGGTGTTCCAGTCCTTGACGTGACTGCATGCCACGAGAAGGGCGTTGTAGATGACAAGAGTCAATGGCGCGACATCTCCCATGTGCCTAGCTTTGCCATGAGCGTCACCGATCAACATGGACTGTCGTGATGAGAGATTCTGTGGAAACGTGTGCAGTGGGGACACTTGCGTACCAGTCAATGAAAGCGTCGATAGCGTCGGCAAAACGAGACTGCCGATTCAAAGCGAGGATGTAGTGGTAGCGAATGCGGCTGTGCAGCAGCGGAACAGTACTTTCGGCCTCTTCGAACAAGCGAACGACCTCCGTGTAGTTGCCCAGGGCCATGTGAGCTTGCATGACCCAGTCGTACGCAAACCGGTTCAGGTCCGACGGAGGAACATCTTGGAATGCCACGACGGCCTTGACATAGTTCTTCTCGAGGACGGCGCGTTCGAGTGCGACCAACGGCGTGGGTGGCGTGGTTGACGGAGTGAACTTGAACTGGTGGTCCAACGTTGAGGCCGGCTGTCGCCAAACGATTCTGAGCGATTTCTTCGTCGTTCCATTGATCAAGCTCGTCGGCATTTGCGACGGTGGATGTGTTGATGGTGTGCTTGAAGGCGACGTCGGTGGCAGCGTCAATGGTTGTGTTGTTGGTTGCCCTGCATCGGTCGATAGTGCCAGTTTACTTTCGTGAAATGCTCCATCGTCCGGCAGTGCAGCGACGACACGAAGCCTTCGCCCTGGAGGAAGCGCAGACATGCGTCGTATGATCCCCCGCATGCTTTTCTCCATAACGATCGAAGGGCGGCCGGCGGCGATCTGTGGGGCGCGGCCCAGCATGCTTGGACACGATGCACACTGTGGTGGTGCAAACAATATCTTTGATTGGCTATATTTCTACCACTAGAAATTCACTATTTTTCAGAGTCAAAAACGACAACGCATCATGATTGTGAAGACAATCTGATGTGCGAGCCTAGACATTCCACTGTCCTTTTTGTAGGATATTTATCCTATTCCAGGCAGAGGTAATCCCTATTTTGCTCCCCATCACCTTCGCCCAGATTCATTACACTTATGACGACAGGTTTTTCCGGGGTACTAGTACCATATTAGTACTAGTGGGGGTCTGACTAAGGGCGCTACTGCTCGCTTTATTCCCCATATGTAAGGCACATGATCAGACAATCCCTCTTACCCCTCCGCCTAGTACCCAATTGGGGACTAGATGGGACTAACGGCCATTAGTCTATTCCTCCTACAACGCATCATGATGAACAGTACTGCGTGACGAGGTAGCAGAGCAGGGCGGCGGCGCTTCCGACTACTCGGGGGCGAGCGTCGACGTGCCTGTTCGGAGCTCCATGTGCACCTTCGCGTTGCGGACGAGCACTTTGTAACGTTTGATGTCCACGACGATGCCCTTGGATTCCAGCAAATCGTGCACCTTGAGCACCTCATGGAACTCGCGACGGTCGCTGTGGCCTTCCATGACTTTTGTCGCAAAGACAGCGCTGGGGCTGGTCCACAGTCGTTCTTGGAACTTGGACCGCGTCAAGTCGACGACAGCGTCGATTTGCTCGTACCGCACGAGTTGGCACACAAGAGCGTCCACTGCGGCGAGGCGCGGTACTGAAGACGACAAGACTGCGTCTTCCATGCACAATTCCCATAGCGACACGGCAACTGACACATGGCCGCGGGAGATTAGCTCCACATACATGTCGTTGACGGGGATAGGGGACGTCAAGACGTGTTGATGGTTTGCATACCACGTCATATGCTCATGCATCTTGGCCGGATCTTCAGCGAGGAGACGGGCATACAAGCGGATGAACAAATCGACAGTTCGCTTTTCTACGCGGACTGAGTGCTTGCTCATCATCTCAATCATCTTGAAAGCGCTGGGCACGTCGCGAGCTACAAGATGCTCTTCTAGGAAAATGGACAACGCGTACGTGTCGTTCGGATCGTGTGATGTTGGTGCTTGTGCGAAGTACTTCTGAACCATCTCGAATTTCTTGTGTGGTGAGATCAAAGGGTCATGGAGGGAGTCAATCGCGCCTTGACTCAAAGATGGGACGAGCTTCTCCGTCGAATTCGTCTGCACATGCGATACATGGAAGGGACGTCGCCGAGGAAGAGCGCGGACGCTTGGCGTCAAGGACTTCCTCGCCGCGAGTTGGACAAAGTTCATCGCAATTGATGGCGAACGGTGTGGAAATCTCACGTTATCCGGATGATGTCAAGCACTTTTGCGTTTGATTGGTAGAAATCGAGATATTCGCTGAGACGGATATTTCCAATTCTTCTTCAAAAGCAAATTATCTGTTCACTTCTCGAAGATTTTTTCACAGTCAATCCATTCCACCAATCCCATGGCCTTGATGGAGGATTCTACATGCACGTTGGAATGAAGTGCGCACATTTACATCACACGCACCGATAGAGACAGCGCACTTGATGCACTGGGATGCTACGAATCTTCGACAAATCCAACTCGTCCCAGCTACAGTGTTGTTGGAAATGAGCACCAATAATCAAAGGGTCATGTACGAGAGATGAAATAAGTCGCCAATTGTAATCTACACATTCACACGTGAGAAAGTTCTCAGCGATAATTTTTAGCACTCGGTCCAGCAAATACTGCGCGCACGACGGGTTCATAGCCTTGGTGGAAACAATCAAGCGCTCCTTTTGGCTTTCTTCCCCTGCAAGTTTGAAATCTTCAGGGAGCTACAAAGAGATAGACGTGATGAAGGCACAAAGTATCGATATGCATTGGAAGCCATCACGCTGCTGCAGTGTTGCTTGATAATTTTTCGAATGTACGTAGCCGACTCTTGTGGGGAAGTGCTACGTCGCGTTGTAACTTGTGCCAGTTGGTGGGCTACAAACCTTATCATCGCAACTACAGGGATCGAATATCCCATCGATGCGGTGGCAAATGCAAGATAGCATTGCTCAAGTTTGTCGACTTCTTTGGCATTACCAGAAGGGTAGTTTTCTTCACAAAGAACGATGAATCAAGGTATAATGTTGAATGGGGGCATACCTAAAATCACCCAGATCTTGACTTTCACGTGAGAAGATGGAATTCAGCACGAAAGGACGGACCTTGGCAAACTATTTGATGTCAATTGTAATCTCACAAAACTTCTTGAGCCACCTGATGCTGAATTTGAGCGACTTGAAACGCAAATTGCTTTGTATGATTGTCGTCTACACTCATGACAATTGATGAAAGCATGTGGTTTGTACCGAGGAAAATGGCTTTTTCGACAACACAGAGCCCGACTTGCATCCCGATGATAAGACTTAACGGTGGCTCCAATTCACGATGAATTTGATTGAATTCGCCAGGTTTCAATAATTCATTCACGTCGACCTAAAAAGCGTCAATGCAAACATCTATTTCGAACGTACCGATATTGGCAAGTCGACACTGATCAAGACGGGGCAAGGACGAGAATTACGAGTTGGTATTTTTTCGGGAGTCACAACGACAGGTAGATCCTCCTGTTCGACGACACATTAAACCGCAAAATTTAGGAAAATACGATACTTCGTCTTGACTCAAGCGAATTAAGTTTCGTAGCTGCACAATATACTTTTCACCTAGTAACCTTTCCACCTTCGACTTTGTTACGCATGTGCGTACGAAAGTCTTGCACCCCTGAACCCCGTGTTCGTCCAACACTTGTTGCGTCAACCTACTTTGCATCTTTTAGACACATCATAATTTGAGAAGCACCTCAATGTATGCACAAAGAAAAGGTCTCTTATGATTTGGGCCCTTTGCAACTTCTCATCCAAGGTTGCTGACGACTGGATTCGTTTGAGGTCCTAGCACAGTAGATACGTGAAAGCGCGTATTGCCACTCATCCTTACTAAATACTTGGCTTGCAACTTGGAATTCAACGAGCCGAGAGAGAGATGCTGCAATGCAGACTTCGATGCAGTTTCTTCTATACGAAGTACTTTTTTCGAAGACAATTTCCAAATTAATGGTCGTGCGGCTCGGGAGATCAATTTGTGCAGGGGCGAAGTTGCATTCGAGTCTTGTTTGCTTGGATCGATGGTATTCAGTTCGTTAACGTGCTGTAGAGTCGATTTCCGACACCGCAGCTGCCGTTTTGGTTTGCTGGCAAGGTTATCATTGGTTTCACCATGCTTTCGCTTTTTCTCGGGCGAGGTCCTTGATACGAGAATGAACTCTTTCGGCGGAATCTCTTGAGTGAGGACGAATTCAATAGACTCGCCTGATTTGGGTTCATCGTCGTACTATCAACATATTTATAACCTATACACAATTTGCTGCGCTTACCAAAACCCCCATGTCTTTGACATTTGACGAAGTTGCCAAACAAAATGAAGGCATGCTTATTGATAACGTTGATGGAGAGATCCGCGGGTGTGTTGGCGTATGGGCCACAGCCAAATCGAAGATGTCTTTGGTACCCGTACGAAATGCCTTCAAAAACGCATCGAGCAAATATCTGTCGTTTGTTGGGGGTAATTGCAACTGGTGGATGTGAACTCCATCGGACTCTTGTTCGAATAATGTGTCGTTCAAGTTCATGTCGTTATTCAAGGGAAGGTCTATCATACGGTTCATAACTCATTCTGATTGTGGAGGGTGTTGTACCAAAGATTGACGTGGGGTAATCTTCCGTTCCTGCAAAGACAACTGCATCATCCAGCCGTGCAGATTCGAACGTTGTTAAATTTGTTTCTCGCCACGAAAATTGCCCTTTATCCAAAGCCGAAAGGTTGAGACCAATGTCGATTGGTCGAATGACGTGGCGCGGATCATTATTTCCCGGTTGTCTTGCAAGTATATGTTTGGGGGCCACTTCGTCCAAGTACGAACTTGGTTGAGGGCATCGTACATTTTCGAAAAGCTGTGGAAATTGCGGTGGCGATGCTCCTGAACCAGGCTTTCTCGATTGAGTCGTTCGGCTCTTTGATGTCAACTGGTTACAATCTGGGGCTGTTTCTGCGTTGCTTGTCCACATGTCGTTATGGTGAAGAATCTCCTTCTCGCCAACAACATCCTCACATGTCAAAGTGCAAGGCAATGCTATCGTCTCGAAAGTAACGATGTCTTCATCCTTAACGTCATCTAGCCACAGCAACTTCAGACAGAGGTACTTCGTGAATAGGAGGTTACCTTTAGTTGGCATTTTGAAAAGAACTTGGCTTGTGTGAATAGCATCGTTGACTGAGTCGACCAACACGCTCCATCGATTCAACTCGTCGTACCAATTGCTACAAAAATGTAAGATCATGATGATTTGGTATGGCAGCTCACCAAGAAGTTGAAATGGAAAAATCGGTGAACTCGTCCAGGATTGCAGATTCAAAAATCTCCTTCGACGCGTCGATGGGATGAAAATTGATCGCAGGTGAACTACCAAATTCCAAAGCAGATTCAATCTTCCTCATTTTAACAGTGTTGGGAGCGTCTTCTTCAACGTGGACGACAGATTCGTTGCTTGAATTTGTTGAGCATTTTCGTCCCCATTGCGACCCGGTTGAGGGTGGCCGGAGAGTCTTCCACGGAAAGTCTTCATGGATTTCGTGACTCACCGAGTTGCGACCGAACAAGTCGAGCAATATATCTCCGCGAGGAAGTCCTTCCGGCTTTTGTGCGTAATCCATGATGACGAAATTTAGCGTGTCGTTTTGAATTCGGGCAACGTCTGTCAAGGGCTCGCTATCTTTGGCTGGTAGTTCTCTCCTTGTCAACTCGGCCAGAAACCTCTTTCTTGACGCCCTGGCCTCCTCTTCGTATCCTACGTCACAACGAACGTGCTTGTATGTCAAATCGAGCCCAACGGAGTCGTACGCTTCCAGCTCATGGAATCGGTCTTGAAGAACATGCTGGCGTCGCCGCTTCGTCTTTTCTGGCGCGCTTGAAATTTGAAATTGGTGCCAAATCTTGATCGTATCCGGACGTCGACCATCATTCTCGATATCCATCATGCGTTCACAAATCGCCATGTCACGCGGCCGCCAACTGCATGTGTTCCGTCATCTTTGGGGAATCGAACCTGTGGCATATTTGGCCACAAACTTGAAGCTGGTCTCGCAGCTAAAGGCACTAGGCTACAAGGGCGTGGAAGCCAGCCTGAGCGCCATCAAAGCACACGGTGGGAATGCATTCCTTGACGAACTCCAGTCTCATGACATGGACCTCATTGTGGGGGTGTATTCTGGATGGACCGATTACGAGCCGGGTGCGTGGCAGCAGAAGAGCATCACAGACCACTTGAATCAACTCGAAGACGAAGTGAACCAGGCCCGTGCACTTTCGTTACGACCCGTCATGCTCAATGCCCACGCGGGATGCGATCATTGGAGCGACCGCGACTGCACCGAGTTCTTCACCGCTGCTCTGCAGCGTATTCCGCACGACGGTGATGTTCCCATCGCTCACGAGACCCACCGCGGTCGAGCTTTGTGGAATCCGTGGAGAACTTTGCAACTTCTCGAGCAGTTTCCATCGTTGAAGCTGACGTTGGACTTTTCTCATTGGGTCGTTGTGGCAGAGCGACTGCTCGACTCAGCATGGGACGATCAATGGATCGATCGCATCATACCGCACGTGCTTCACATTCACGGCCGCGTCGGATCGGACGAATCGCCCCAGGTCGTCGACCCTCATGATCCTCACGTCAAGCCATTCGTGGACCGGTTTGACCGCATCTGGTCCCAGGTGTGGCAGGCCCAGGCCAGAGGCAGCAGCAACGGAACATCGACCTTTACGTCTGAATATGGGCCGTCCCCATACACTCCAATGGCTCCGTTCACCGGTGAGCCGTTAAGTGATGTGTGGGCATTGGCCAACTCCGAGACACGCCGTCAACAAGAGCGGTTCGCCAACGAACCCTTTCACAACACGTAAGTCGATTCTGGTCGCACAGCCTCAGTGCCGGCAATGGTGTCGAGAGCGGCGGCCTTAGTATACCCCACCATACGACCGACCCGTTGCATGCCACCTCTTTGTTGGATTCATCTGGGGCACTCATGGTTTATCCACGTTAACTGGAGCATCGACCAATTCGTTTTGCACAGCTAAATTTCCGTCTGCACTTGTCGTACCCTTTGCGTCCGACGGTTCGTCGGTCGTCTTGGCTTTCTTCTTCGCATCGACGGGGGCCGCCGTCCCCGACCTTTTCTTCTCGTCAACGTCAGGCTTGATGATTGTGTACCTTGGTTCTACGTACGCGATGAAGGACCGCATCACGCGTCGCGAGCGACCCTTACCTCCAGCGGCGGAGATGCTCACGCGCTTAAAGTTGGTTGGGGAATTCTCGAAATACCCCCTGCATGCACACTCAATGACACGACGCCTCGATATGAACGTTACTTGATCAACGCCGCTAAGTTGGCCCGCCCCCCGACTTCGTACTCGATATCGCGGAAGCTATTCCAGCATACAAATGAATCGGTGCTACAAGCTGTGGGGAGTACCATTTGAAGATGGAGTCAAGTGTTTCTTCCACGGTGAGGCCGAGTGTAGACGCCGATGGCTGCGTCGCCTTTTCGAATCCTTTCTGAATGAGTTTGAGGCCGGACAGGACGCCGCAAGGAGACTTGACCGCGGGTAAGAAGTAAAATCGAGAGGCACCAATTTTTATCGGAAGTTTTGGAGTCAAAGGCACCGTTGTGTCCTTGGGGATCAACCGACCTATCCACTCGTCGCACGTTGTACACACGCTCCAGGCATGAGTACCTGCAGCATACATCCCGTTTTTGCCCAAACACTCCATCTCGAAGCATGACTTGTCTGCGTTCCAGTTGATACGAGCGTGCGCGCGAGACACGGATTTCTGGTCGCCCAAGTTGATGCGGCCTTCTTGTTGATCGTTTGGCGCTCCCCGACCCAGCTCCACGGGCAACTGTGTTAGGACAACTTCAAAGGGCTCTGTGTCGTTGATCTTTCCCTGCAATTTTGCATATGCAAGCGGTGGACGCTTGCTCAGGAACTCCTTTTCGAGCTTCTTGTCGTCGTCGGTCATGGACGACGCCATGGCAGGTTCGCGCTGCTTGGTGACCGAAAATTGTTTGAATCGATTCCTATTGGTCAAAAAGTGCTCTCGAAAAAATATCTGCCCATTTTGTCGCGGCTCGCCAGCATGATGGCGGAGGCGCGCCGCTCACGCATCTTGCGAGAACAGCTCGGGCTGTTGGATGTAAGTGCCACTCGTCAAGACGATCACAATGGCATCGTGTGTACTCAGAGACACCATCGCAGGGCTCCGTAGCGCGATTGTAACCATCGTGAACTCAAACAACACATTCGAGTCTTCATCAAATATCGCCTGGGCTGCTGTTTCCCTTCATTATTATGTCGCCTTTAAGAAGAACAAAAGCAAGGGGGCGGTTCGCCGCCATCTCAGGCTGGTACTGACCCCCATCGCTTTCCAGCAAGCAAAAAACTGTTGAACCATTTACAAACGGCCCCCCGTGCCGGCCAAGGACTTGACCAATTGGTCCTCTTCGCGGACGACCTTGGCACCCTTTTCTTGAGCACCTTCTTCGTGCAATTCCATCAACTTGGTCACGTCAAACTTGGGCTTCTTCAACACCTTCATCTTGCGGACAAACACATTTTGGAGGGGGAAGATGCCTTGGCACGCCTTTTCAATTTCCTTGCCGATGATTTCGGGTTGGAACTTGAGGTACAAGTCCTTCAATTCCGACTTGGACGCTTGTTCCGTCATGATCGTCGTCATCTTCTTGCGAATTTGACGGATTTGAGCGGTTTGGGCGTAGCACGTCTTCTTTTGCTGGTTGGGGCGCTTCTTGGTGAAGGCGATCGCAAACAAACGGATCGTGTAGCCGTCGGTGGTCTTCACGTCCACAAAGGCTTCAATGAGCGTTTGCCATTTCTTGATCAACGAGCAGATTTTGTCGCGGGTGAAGTCCATGCCGTGGAAGTTGGTAATCACTTGCGTGCCTTGCACGTCTTCGACAGCGAGGCGCACCTTGCGGAACGATTGGTCTTCGTCCTTGTTGAGGTCGGCAAGGCACACTTCAATCACGCGGCCCTTCAAACCTTCCGACGCGATCTTGGTACCGGCAGTGCGGTTGACCAAGGTCTTGCCGATGGTGCGTTGTTGGAAGATACCGGGGACACGGATATCGTACCAGTCCTTGCGGGTGAAAGGATCGACGCTATACACCCACACTGATGAGTGCAAAACGTCCTGAATCACAATGCCGAATCTGTCGGGACAAGGGGGAGGAGGGTCACTTACGCCTTCTTCTTGCCGCCCTTCTTGCCCTTGGTCAATCTCTTATTTTTGCCTACACAGCGTCATGCACCGTGAGATTCCTGTTGCGCGCCAAGACACGACACAATCTCTGTTGGTCACGCGCGTTCTCCTGCTCGTCCAAGCGCTGCATTCATGTAAGATCATCCTGGGTCGACTTACCCACAGCCATGTTGCGATATGATTCAAAGTTTCAAAGGCGAAATGAACCAATATAACTTGGTTGGAGCTCAATCCACCAATAATTTTCGCACCACTTCATTGGTCCCGAGGGTGTGTTCAATTCACACAGGTGTTCGTATGTACACAGGGAATGCCTCCCTTGAATTCTATGACACAGGTTGTATGGGGTTGGGACGAATATTTTTTTAACTACCTTATGAGGTGGGTATTCGTGAATCTTATTGGCTGAAAATCGATACCTTCACATACTAGTACCGTCCAAATTATCCGGAGTGGCCGCCGTGCGCCGTGCAAGCGGAGCCGTGGCGCGCGGTGACCTTTCGAGACCGCTGCTTCGATTCAACACGATGGCACGTGTGAGATGGTCGATGTTGGGAGTTGCGCGAATGCACGTAGCTTTCACGAGCGTTTGAAAGACAAACATGTGTCGATCCCCCCGCGGATAGCAGTGGTTGAATTCACCGAACGCTGACGTGCCGGAGGCCGTAAAGCGACCCATCGCACGCCGGCGCATATTCTTGATGCAGCACAATGCATGGAACACGATTGCGTTCGTTGGGACCATCGCCACAAGCGGCCATACGTGCATGTGTGATGGTCGGGTCGCCCAACTGGTGGGGCCGTTTCGCCCGTTCTTTCTGGGAAAACGGCGCTTGGGGGTAGTTTGGTCGAAATTTAGCCAATCAGAATGTAAAATGACCAATCCTTGAGTATTCATTGGCTGAAATTCCACCATTGTGCCATGGCGCTTGGGAATTCGTGCGCCCCTTCAGTGCCCATTCTTCCACCGCAGAACGGAACGTCATGGCCAAACACCCGTCAACCAAAGTCGATGCCAGGCAAGCAATGCATACACCGAACAACCCATCACATCAGACCAAGAAGCGCCCACCAGTGCTACGGTACCGCAAGAAAATCATGGATCCGACGCCGGAGCCACAGCAAAACCGCGACAACCAGCTCGAGGACTTGGACGACACGGCATCGTCTACACACGACAACCAGAGTTCTCGTACGTGAATGGCATCCCATGTCCTGCTCTCCCCCTCATGTGAACCTTGAATAGATGAATCGAGTCCCGTCAAAGTTCACCCGATACCGCAACCTACGTCGACTGTGTATGTAGTGAACGTTCAGGACTTTTTGTTTCACCCGCGGCATATCGTGATCGAGCAACACAGCACAATTCGCTGGAGAATCCCCACCAACTCCACGACAGTGCACTCGATCGCGATCGACAATGTGACCAAGAAAAAGGGGACGGGGCGCACTTTGTGCCGCGGTACACCGACCTTTGAGCACACGTTCGACACGTTGGGTTCCGTCCGGTACTCGTGCTCGTTGTACTCGTTTATGGCGGGCACGGTCACGGTCGTTGCGTCGATGACACCCGAACAAATATCGCAGAACGTTGTGTTCCTGGACTACCCGTCGCATCAGGTCAAGAAATCGCCATCCAAAGCACCATCCCCGACAATCTTCCCCTTCCACAAGCAACTTGTCATGTGGCGAGAAAAGCAGCCCAAGTCCCAGGTATCGATGGAAGACGAAGACACATTTGCGCACCAATCGCGACAACGGATTAAGAAAGCAGCTGCAGTCAAGGTCCCGTCGCCATCGGTTTCTGTTGACTCTTCGCCACATCTGTCCATTGCCGCCGTCCCCATTCCGTCTCGTCCATCGAGACGTAGCAACGCGCTGTACGTCTCGCCATTGTCCCGGTCGTCGTCCGTCGCCTCTGGCCACTCCCATCACGTCGTCCACATTCAAAACTTTGAGTTTTCCGCGCTCGAGAACGTCACTGTGGGCGACTCGGTAGCATGGAAGGTCAGCACTGAAAACCCTGGCATGGTCGAGCACGCTCTCAAGATGCGCGTGATGGACCCAAGTAACACAATTGTGCAGACCACGACATCGCCACCACTCAAGCCAGGGGACAGTTGGGAGTTCACCCTCTTGCAACCCTGCAAATTATTCGTCGAGTGCGTTGTGTACGACTTGAAAAGCCCGACCATCGTCGTGGAGCCGTCTGTCCCCGCGACCGAGCGACCCAACGACAACGTGATTTTGATCGGCGATGTGGCGTGTCCTGTGGCAAGAGAGTCACTGGCACGTGGGAAGACATTTGCGACGTGCGAAGTGAACGAACCATCGCCCGACAGCGCTGACAGCATCCTCCATCTCCTGCACATGTCGACGTTGAAGCAACAGGCGATGCGATCGAGTTACGTTGTCGAGCACGGCCGAGGCATTCCTGGCTTTGACGCCGCTGCCACATACGATCTCCTCAAACAGCGTACGCCAAGCAAGTCGAATGAATACGTTGCTGATGGCATTTTTTGTAGGATCGCACCGCGCGAAACAACAGCCACGCGTTGTCTATGCATGTAGTCGCCACACGGTGTAAAAATGTTTTTCCATGCCGATGTTGTCGCATCTGCGCTTCTGTCGTAGCCACAATTTTCACTTGTGGGAAACGTTGCCGTACACGGCCAGCGCCACCATCTCGGAATGCTGTGCGCGCTTGCTCTAGAGTGCTCCTTTGACGTGCCAGAGAAGTGCCAAGGACGTCTGTGTGATTGGAGGCGCGCAGGGACCCAGTGCACCGCCCACGAAATCGCAGTGATGCGAGCGTCCCAATTGTTGGGTGCGCGGCGATCACGGTCAAGCGGCAGGTCTCGTCGACATCGCAGTTGATGCCACAGACAAATTGCCAAAGCCAATCGTTTCCACTCGAAACAAGACAGCTCCATTTCGGGACCGCGAGCGCGCGCTGACGTTGCAGTCGAGTCCGTCGCGACGGACCACGCGCTGTAGTGTCCCTACAGGATTTTGAACGGCACAGGACGGGACCAAGCCGATCGTGGAATTACAGTCAGTCACGATAGCGACGAGCTATGTCAACCCGCGATGCGGTCGAGAGGATGGAAACATGCCGTTTGAGCGCGGAGGACCCACGCACGCCGCATGCTCGTTGGCCCTGCCGGCGCAGAATGGCGACCCTGCCAGTGCCAACACGGTTGGTTGAGCCAGCCAGTCAGCACCCACGGTGGTTACGTTCGTCAGCTCGGCAAAGACTGCTGCGAGGACGGGGAGCGACGTCAGGTCGTTTGGCAAGGCCTCGAGATGCGGGTTCCTTGACACGTCAAGTGCCAAGAGTGCATGGAGGTTGGCGATACCGTTGGCGGTCGTGAGGGCATTCATATTCAAGGAGAGCTGGTTGAGGACGCTGAGTTGCCCCAGGTCGGGCATCGTTGTCATGTGGCATGACTCGAGAAAGAGCGTGTTCAGGCCAGCCCACGCGGCGATCGTGTCGTTCGAGATGGTGGCGAGGCTGGCGTTGACAATTTCAATGTCGAGCAAAGTCGGTGGAAACGGTACTTGATAGAGCGCCGCGGGGACCTCGGTCAGGTTTGTGTCGACAAGCAGCAGATACGACAGCGTCGGGAACTTGTCGGCCGTGATGGCGGCCGCCATCGGCCACTCCGAAATCGTCGAGTTGTACAGTTCGAGGCCAAACAGCGAACGGAACCGATCGAGTCGAGGAACGATGAGATTCGCGCAGTGGGCCACAATCAGCAGCTCGACGTTGTGCGGGTCCAGCGTCTCGAGCACGCGAGGGACGTCGTCCTGGTCGATGCCGCGGGCGTAGCAGTTGACGACTTGCACGACGCAGCGACAGTCTGTTGCAAACCACGGATACACGCGGCTGAGGCAGCCATGGGGACACGTGACCTGAAACATCGTTGTGACGCCGGAGAACGAGACAGCGAGACCGACGATGGCTGCACCCCAAACTAGCCCGACGATGCGACTCCACGCGACTGCAAAGCGCAAGCCTTGCTTGAGTTTTGTCGACTGCGCATCCTGGACGTGGGATGGCGGCGGCGGCGTCATCCGAGGGTAGAGCGGGGGATGATGGCGGACAGCATAGGTAGCTCGCGTGTCATGGTAATCGTGGGCCAGGGACACGATGTCGTCCAGGTTGGTCAGGCTAAAGTACGCGAGGACGCACGGCAGCAGTCGGGACCAGAGGTCGCCAATGTCGTTGAGGAAGAGGCGTCGTCCCAACAGCGCTGCGTCGTAAAACCACACGTCGTCGTAGAGACTGTTCATCTGGGCCGCTTCGTCCCATGAGAAGTACGACAGGTACGGGGCCACCGATACCCACGGCAGGCCGCACTCAAAGATGGCCGTGAACCCGACCGTCGACCAGATCGCCGCCGTTCGTTGAAGCACGGGCCGCATCTTGACCGCAAATAGGACTGGAGTAATGACGCAGCTCGCCGCGATGCACCCAGCCATGAGGAGATTCAATCGGGTCGATGTGGACATGAACGAAACGATGAACGCCTGGTACGTATGGGATGCGATCGAGAGGCCGTGAGAGATGCTGGTCCGAAGACTGAAGAACTCGCCTTGGATGCCAAACTCGCCTTTGCCCGTCCAGTGCTTGGTGTACGCCTTGTACAGCCACCACACGACGCGGTGGCTCGACTCGAACCCACTCCGCGTCGATTTGGGCTTTACCTGGGCAGCTCGTACACGACCAAGTCGTGTTTTAAGCCGCCGGTTCCTGATCAAGTTGACAAGGCCGTAGACGTGCAGCATCCCGACGGCGCTGCACATGACCATGGGCACGCGCAAGTCGGCCTGCAGCCGCATCGTCCGCCGTTCGTACTCGTGCTGCCCAGACGTGAGGAACGCGTGCGCGTAGGACAAAAACCCCAAGTGCAATGCAAACGCCACGTGCAAGACTGCTATACAGACCCAGAGACTCCAAAACCCCGTCGGTCCGAGTCGGTTCTCTGGTTCCCGCCAGCTCTTGGCCTTTTCAAATCGGATCGACAAGATCGACTGCAGCATGATTGGCTGCAATCGCGGGACGAGCGCCTTCTTGGGCTGTGGCGGCGGTGCAGTCGGCGGCACCGCCGACTGCATGGCCGAAAAAGAAGACAACTTGTGCAAATATAACATTTCTATCCGACGGAAGCCCACAAACGGTTCCATTTTTGAATGACAGTTACACTACGTGACCCTGACCGTTTCATGAATTTCAACGACTAAGAGAGGAGATGGCCAACCGCTTCCACTGCATGGAATTTGCCGAGCCAGCACGAGCAGGTCATCGCATGAGACGTCAAGAGTCGTCCGTCTGAGTGTGCTGCAGCTAGTCAGTGCCAGTTTTGTGCTTCTTGGCGCTTTTGTCGTCTGTTGCGCTGCATCGAGAGCTCTTTTTCTTAGCCTTTTTGTGCTTCTGGGCTTTCTTGTTTGTCTTGCTCATCGCAGTCAGCACTCCCACCAGACGGTTCTGGTACGCAAAATGCTGCAACATCGTGATCGACGCTGCCGCAGCATCTTGAACGGGAGCTGCCACGACCTTTTGACGGACGATGGGAAAGCCAAGCGTATTGACAGCACGGCGAAGGGCTTCGTGAGTCGGCAGAACGCCTGACGTGTCGAGGCTCAAGAGCACTGCCACCGTCGCCACACAGTCCGCCTTGACAGTCTGTTCTGAGCTAGCGTACATGGCTTCTACCAACGACGAGCTGCTCTCCTTGGCATCGTTCGACTCGTCCAGATCCAGCACGATGGACGGTGCCACCGCCGTCGCTACCCACGCTGCCAACGACGCATCGTCGCTTGATTTTTTCGAGCTGTCCACTTGAACTTGCTTGACGATCGCATCCAAGATTTGAAACTCCGTCGGCGCGGCTTGGTGGTTTTCAGCCATCGACGTTACGAGAGTCGCTTGCTCAAACGTGTGCCTGGAACCATCGACCAGCAAGAACGTAAGCGACGTCGTCAAGGCCGGGCACGTCGAACTTGCCATGTCGTGGTCGTGGGAATGCGGTGTGTCGAGATCTCCCGACCCGATAGACGAACGCATGTAGTGCGACCGCCACAAGGTCGCGACTGTTACTCGAACCATGGCCCACAACGCCGACTGACGATTTGCCAGAGCCGACGAGACGTCGTCTTGGCGGAGAGGAACAGAGCACAACACATGCATATGGGTTCGCAAACACGTCGGTGTAGTGGCGGCGGAGAGGACAGCGGCGTTCGGGCTGGCTGACGGTGCCGCGATTTTACTTTGGTGGACGAGAGCAGGACCAAGGACCCCTTGGGCGTGATGAAATGCAACCACCGACAGGATTTTGCTGGTGAATTCCGGCACAGCGCCAAGGCGGATGCCAGTCAATGGAACTTTTTGAGCGGCGCAGACGCGGCGCAGCGTTGCGTTTTCGAAAGGATGCATGTCTCGGACGGCGCCAAGAAAGAGAACGACGTGGAGGTTCGGGTCACCCGCGGGGAGCGCGGGCGGGTCGAAGCACGGCAGCTCCGACTCGCACGACTCATGAAGGTATCCGGCGACAACGGAGTGTGACGACTGAACTTGCAGAAGGTCTGTGAAAATGGATTCGAGTGGAGACGTCGATGAAGTGGCGCGCGACGGCTTGTGCGCCGATGTCCACTGATGCCATACTTGAACGAGCGACTTTTTGTTGGTCTTTCGCAAGACAACGTCGGGCTTGCTGTTGAGGCCATTCTGGCGAAGAAATTCGATGGAGCAATGCGCTTGGATGTGTTCCAGAACTTGCCTCTTGCTGTCCATGTGCTGAACGGCCGACGCGGCGGACGTGGACGCTCCAGTCTCTTGCACCCGCTCGACTCGACACGCCCATGGCGAATCATACCGGTCCTTTGACACCGACGACGCAGATGCCTTCCACGCAGATACGACGTTTTGTTCCGTTGGAAGCACGCGGCACGACAATGGGTTGGTCACACTCATGTGGATGCGGGCAAAGTCTTCGTCGTGAAGGAGGACAAGTTCCCGGCTGCTGCAATGCGCAGACCACGGACCATGGAGAAAAGATGAAACACATCGCACCAGTGCATCACGACGGTTCCACCACTGACTCTCATCGCGCGTTGGGCGGTACGACGCCGCGTCGCCGCCGCGTCCTTTGCACAGAAGCACGACTTTCACGTGGCACATGCCGCTCCAATCAACTACTATTTGCAGGCCGTATCCGGATACCCACGTGTAACCGACAATTCGAATCAAATTTCGGCGGCGACAGACATGGAAGCAGCGGCTCTGTACGCAGGACGACTCCATGGCCCCTTTGTTTATCGTCGTGGCGAAATAGATTGATGTAGGACAGCTACATTGCGAGTGCCCTTGGACTACTCGCCCTTAATGCCCGCAAGCACTATCACGCTGTGTTGCTAACTTTCTGTACGTGGTGGGTTGTCGACCAATATGTACCGACGCCTCCCAGACTGGCATCAAGGTGAACACGGCAAGGTGACGAAGCGGAACTCAATGCGTTCGCACAATGCGGCTCTATCATCTCGGCGCTGTGCTCAGTACGTCAACGTGACCCCCTCGAGAACACTGACGGGAGCGATCCCGCTACCCACACCACGTCATGAACGTCGTATAAATTAAACCACTTGGACAATCCACTCGCGACAGCCTCGACGGCTTATTCATACTTGCTCGCAAACTGCCACACTTCAAAATTGACCACGGCAAAGTTGCATCGGCTCGCGAGGCACCTGCAGCCATCCATTTGAATCGACGCTCATCATCAATTTCACTCACCGGTTGTCAAACGTCATGGATGGCGCGCTCGTGCCCTGGGACAAGTCGTGGTTGAGCGCCCACGCAAAACCGCCGCTACTCGACCATGAGACCCAAACCGCTGTGTCCCAGAGAGTGGACGTACCCGCCGCCCATCGCGATCGTGCTCTCGTCGCTGAACAAGAGAAGTGTGTTTTTGCGAGTCCACGGAAACAACTCAAACTTGTGGTGGCACGTGAACACAAAGCTCTCGCCTGTGCCGTAGTACAGCCCGCAAGGCGTCCATGGCGCGGTCGCGAACCCGCCAAAGATATCGCCGTCCGCGGTTTCGATCACTACGATCGTGGTTTCCTGGCGCCGGACGCGGTGGAAAAGTGTATGCAGCGATGCGCCATGTTGCGCCAAACTGAACGAAAGTTTCCAGTTCTTGTGGCGGAATCGATAGGGTAAGCACGCTTCGATCTATCGACAACGCTGTGACGACAACGACGACTGAGAGAAGGGAAGAGACCTTTGGGACAAGAAATTTGGACACTTTCGGGTCGGACAGGATATCGGTAGAGGAGCCGCCGATGAGTTCGGGCATGTCATAGTGAGTCGAGACCGACTTTGTCAACGGCATATCCGACATGGACCGAAGGAGCATCGTGTGGGGATGACATATTGTGGCCTCGTCATCGTCCATTTGGTTGTTGTTCGGGATGGGATGGACCTGAAGGGATGCGAATGTATCGGTCTCTGCAAGTTCTGCTTCAGGGGCTGCAACTGCAGCGTGGACCGCGGCATGTTGCAACGAATGCGACCGCGTTTGCTTCGTCTTGGGGACTTTATGTTCATGCGTGCTATTGGCTCGGCGTTGCGGCTTGGCGGCATTGCGTGTTGCACTGAGGCATACCAAGGATGATGAGTCAAGTGAGGGGGATGGTCACGGGTGTTCGGACGTACATGGAGTAGTGGCGTTCAACGCAAATGGGTTCGTAGTCACTCCATGGGTTCTGCATCATGAGAAAGTATGCCGGACCTGGCGAGATGTCGGAGATGAGCACCATGGCGTCGTGTCGACCTTCGTGGAAGTTGTGGACTGGGCCTCCGCGCTCGCGGCTACGTCCATGTTGATTGTTTTCATCGCTGGGAAATGTCCCACGTGGACAGGTTCGACGGCAGTTTGGCGAGGGGGTGGCTGGCGTTTCAAACGCGTTTAAAACGTCCAAGATTCGTTTGAAATGTCCTTCGTACGTTTGAAACACGCCATTCGTTGCGTGGTTTTTGTCCCAAGCGAGCGAAATAGCACGTGGGAATTGTTGAAGTGCCTGTCTGCGGGATTCAACCCGCGCGGGATCGCTAAACCCGTGCAGTACAAGCAAAGCATGGCCACCGCCAGGTCGGTTCGTTCACGGCGGACGTGCTGGCTCGAGTTCAGGGCCACCGGACATTCGACTGGGTAGGTGTAGTTGAATCGTCGGCGCGCCCTCGCCACACGGCGCGTGTCTTCTCAAGATCGACGACCGCGGGCCTGCTGTGGTGGGAAATGATATACAGTATGCCACTGCACTTGCTGCGGTCAACGTGGGTGTGGATGATGGTGATTCGTTGGCGCTGGTTGGTGGCGTGCCTTGCCAGTGTCCTGTTTAGTCTTGCCCCAACGACAACGTCAAAGAGTCCGTCGACAGCGACAGGGCGTTTTCACGCCGCGGGCTGGTGGACGCCATCGAGTAGCTAGTGCTGCACGTGCCGCCCGTGGTCGACAGAAGGTTGGGCCACTGGGCGATACTGTACACGGCGTATCTTTGATTCGACCGCGAGCACCCGCGCGAACCAAAGAAGGATTCATGGACCCCACATGGCCAGGAATTTCCCGAGGGGAGGCGAGTACGCCGCCATCCAAATTTTTCATGTCTTTGTTTTCCAAGTCGGAATTTAAAAAACGACCAATCAAACGCCATTCCAGAAAAGCAACAAGATTTCGAAAATATGTTCACGTTCCGACTTGGTCACATTTGTCTCTCGACCTATTTTGACCAAGTCGTTCTTCATTCTCGAATGCGCCGACACAACTCCAGCGACGGTGTACGAGGTCCGTGTGGGTGTCGCCGTGGCGCTGTCAAGCAAGGCCCGTGTGAAGGCTCTGTGTGCAGGGAGAACGCGTTGGGTGAATGTACAATGCCACGATCTGTGTGTATATGCGTCCTACGTCTGGCGTGCAATTCTGCTTGGACTACTCCATCGGATCATCCATGACTTGTCTGTCTTGCGACGGAACTGTCCCTGTTTGATCTGCTTGATTCGACAAGCCGTCCAACGCAACGTCGTTCATGTTGGTCGCGTCGTCCGGCCGCGGCTGGTCCGGTGTCGACGACGGATCCTACCATCACGTCATGGGACCGCATCCACGTTTTTGTAGGTACCTGCGGCGACGCGGGTGTGCCCAGCTGTTGCAGGAACTCCTGACGCAACGTTTCGTGGGCAGGAATGGGTTTGGTAAAGCGCAGACTCGATCCAGGTTCGTTCTGGTACAAATTCGTTAGCGACGCTTGGACACATGCATCCACTTGTTCCACGTAAGCTTCGGGGTGTCGGCGAAACCTGAGAAGTCCAAGGCATTGTGTCGTCATGCAGGGTACTGGGGTCATTATGAAGTGAATGGGCTTACAGATCAAGGGCCTTGGCGTTAGCGACCCGTCGGATGTCCGGCGAAAACTCCTTCGAGTAGAAGATGCTCTTCATGTACACAAGGACCGACACGATGTAATGGAGGTCGGGGTCCCAAGTTGGAAACTTCGGTAGCAAGTCCAGGTCGTTCGACTGCAGTCACGAGGCGTCCTCATGAGTGACTATGGCCAGTTCATACAAAGTGGACGGCGTACCTCGGGATACACATAAGGATGGAATACTTTGGAGAAGAACGTAACTTTGGGGTACGTCCCGATGGCGTTATACCTGGTCATTTCGCTCGTGAGGCATGCAAGGACTTGGAATAGTCGTGGCAATGGAGTACTCACATTTCGGGAATCCTGATGGAGAACTTGAAGATGCCGTTGCGGTACAAACCTTGGTGAATGAAAATGACGCCATGCCACAATCGGGGTTCGTCAAAGTTTGGCAGGACGTAAATGCCGCTTGGCACGTGGTGCTTCATGTGCTTGTACTCGATCATGAGGCCGTAGTCCTTCATCGTCTGGGACCGGTACTTCTGCAAGTCCGTCAACTGCGAGTTCTCTTGTTGCCGCTCGGTCATTGTCGAGCCGCCGTCGGTCGTATGCTTTTGGAGGAAAGAAGAACATCCGGATATAGTATTCGGATAAACTCGTTGAATTGAATAATTCAGGTGGTTTACGCTGATTGGCTAGTGCAAATTGCAGCTTTGGTTGGTGCCGCATCTTGCGATGAAGTTCTCCGAGTGCACCCCGCCGCTGTGCGCGGAAGTCCTGACCGGCATCCATGAGCTTGGTTTCACGGAGATGACGCCAGTCCAGTCTGCGACGATTCCTCTCTTCCTCACCAACAAAGATGTGGCTGTGGATGCCTCCACGGGCAGTGGGAAGACGCTTGCATTTGTGTTGCCAACCGTTGAGATGTTGCGTCGCCGGCTCCTTGCAACCCAGGACGACGACGTTGCCAACGTCTTGTCCACGAAGAAATACAGTCAACTCATGGCGATGGTGCTGTCGCCCACGCGTGAGTTGGCGCGTCAGATCTACGACCAAGCGGTGTACTTTTTCAGCCGCGTGCTGCCCGACGTCCACGTGCTCTTGTTTGTGGGCGGGACGTCCGTCGAAGAAGACATGGCTGCGATTCGCGCGGCGAAAGGTCATGTGAGCGTCATCGTCGGCACACCAGGTCGTATCGAGGACATGTTGAATCGAGTGGCGGAGCTGGCGATTCTCGACACGAAGGAGTTTGAAGTGCTCATTTTGGACGAAGCAGACACGTTGCTGGACATGGGTTTCGACGTCAGCATCAACAACATCTTGTCAAAACTGCCCAAGCAGCGGCGCACGGGACTGTTTTCAGCGACGCAGACGCAGGAAGTCAAAGCGCTGGCTCGTGCGGGCCTTCGCAACCCCGCGACAGTGTCCGTGCAGCTCGCATCCAACACCAAGACGCCGTCGACGCTCACCAACTTTTACACGGCCGTCGAGTACGACGCCAAGCTGGCGACGTTGCTCCGATTCGTCCAATCCAAACCGACCGAGAAGCACATTGTGTTTTTCTCAACGTGTGCATCGGTGGACTTTTTCGGAGCGGTCCTGGCGCATCTCACAAAGGCAGAAGTTCCTGACGTGAGTGTGGTGACGCTCCATGGCAAGATGCAGCCGAAGAAACGCATTGCCCACTACGACGAGTTTGTCCAGGCGACGTCCGGCCTCCTCGTGTGCACGGACGTTGTCGCGCGCGGGATCGACTTGCCCGACGTGGACTGGATCATCCAGTTTGATCCGCCGCAGGACCCCAACTTTTTTGTTCATCGCGTGGGCCGGACAGCGCGGGCGGGGCGGTCCGGATCGGCACTCACGTTTCTCTCGCCGAACGAGGACGCGTATGTGAATTTTTTGAGCATCCGCAAGGTGCCTCTCGAGGAAATGAACGTGACTGCGTCCGCGGAGGATGCAGTGGCCGTCCTGGAGCAAGTCAAGGCGCTGCAGCTGACCGACCGCGACGTGGTCGAAAAGGGCACGAAAGCGTTTATTTCGTTTGTCCGGTCGTACAAAGAGCACCAGTGCCAGTTTATCTTTCGCTTCAAAGACTTGAACTTGGCCAAAGTCGCAACAGGGTTTGCGCTCTTCCAATTGCCGAAAATCAACGAGCTGCGGTGCCTCGACAACGTCGCATTCACACCGTCCGGCGTCAAGGTCGTCGACATTCCGTACAAGGACAAGGCCCGCGAAAAGCAACGACAGAAAAAGCTGCTCGAGATCGCCGCCGAGCACAAGGCGGAGAAGCTCGACCGGTTTGAGAAAAAGCAGGCGGACAAAAAGCGCAAGCTGGCCGCCGTCGAGGACGGCCCCCGCCGCCGGGAAAAGAAAAAGGGGATGCACCAGCAGATTGTAGAAGAGTGGGAAGAACTTGAGAAGGAGGAGCATCTGTTTAAGAAGTTTAAGCGCGGGAAGCTCACCAAGGAAGAGTACGAAGCGGCCCTCGGCGATCTCTCGGACGGCGACGACGCGGGGATGCCCAAGAAAGACAAGAAGTTTCAGAAGAAGGTCGTGGTCAAGCAAAAAACATCCGAGCAAAAGGCGAATGCCGCCAAGCGCGAGGAGCGCATTCGCGCCCGTAAAAAGGCCGAGCACATCAAGCGAAGCCAACAGCGCGCGAAGGCGAGGCGGCGCTAGCTTTCGTCTGGGCGGACCACCACACTACATGTCGACAACTAATTTAAACACGCGTGTGTGCTGTCATGGCCAGCGGTGTGCTCTGGGGAGTCAAAATTGCCAGCGGAAGGCTCTTTCGACGACCATGGAACGAATGAAAGTCGGGGGATGTTGTGAATAGAACTGCATGATAGCTAGCTGTCATGAAAGAAGGAAGCGCGTCGGCGGCGTCCACGTCGCCGCGCCAGTTCTCGTGTCGTAGTAGTACGCAAGTCCTGTGGCTGGATCGACAAGTTGGGGAAAGAGGGCACGAGCCAGGGTCGCCATGAGTTGCCGCGCCTGCCGCCGCCGGTACATGCCTTGGATCTTCATCGCGGCTTCGTTCAGTCCAAGTTTGCGGCGCTGCGGCGGTGACGTGATGGCGCGGAGCGCCCACTGCCCTGTTGCATGGGCAGATGGAAATGTCGCAAACTTGGACAGTACGTTGTCGAGGACGATCTTCGCGCCGGCTTTTTGCGCGGGCGTCCACCCCTTGATGTCTGCTCACAAGCATCAACTGAATGCCACCCGGTGGGGGCACCGACCAAGGTGAGCTGCCGCGCCGAGCAGGTGTGCCGCCGCTGCTTGAATCTTCACGTCCTCTGTGAACGTCTTCATTGCGTTCAGGGCGACATCGACGATGCCGCCGATTGCCTCCTTTGGCTCGGATGCAGCTACATGACATCTGTGAGGGTGAAAGGAGGACCGAATGGTAACGAACCTCGGCCTTTGAAGGCGGCGGTGGCCCACTGGGCCAGAGCCTCGCTCCCCACCTGCTGCACTTGACCAAACGTGCGATACCTTATCATCCACTCGACGATATCTTGTGGGCATCGCTTGGTTAGCACGTCCGCGGAATACCCGATCGACCTTGACACTATTCTTGTTGTGAATGACTTGGGTATGGCATGCAGCAACGAACCGGCCAACGTTCGCACCGGTAGACTGGGAGAGCTAAACGGTCCCCACCCCCCAGCATTTCGCGCGCGAACTCGAAAGCAAAATGCCGTGTCGGCAGGGAGGCCGACGGCTGTCATTGTAGTCGCGGGAGTGGCGCGATTGCGCACGACTTCCTCATAGGTGTGGATGAGCCTCGTGGCGACCAGGTTCCACGCCTGAACAAGACACACGCGCCGACTAAGTCGTAGCTTCCACGAGAATTGGGCTGTATACCACGCAGGCAGGGCCCGCCCCTCTGCGCTCGAGTTGAAAGCCTAACACAGGCGTCCTTTCATCGAGCGGCATGGTCCATTCCACTTGCAGCGACGTCATGGAGGCCGTGGCGAGTGTTGGCGGAGTTGGCGAGTGCTGGGGTGGGCCTACATTGCTCCAGGAGAGTGGATAGACCGGATTTGGTGGAGATGTGTCGTACGTGGAACTTTGCCCAGACAGAAGTCGAGGTCCGGGGCGTCGCAATGGAGTTGGGGGGTTTGATTTATTTCCCTCACGGATGCAGCCTCGTCGAATTGGACGGTGAGGAGGTCCTTGGCCTCGATGGCTTTCTTGGCTCGCGCCGACGCCACGTAAGCGTCAAACTCGACGGCGGCGGTCACATACTGCACGACATCCCGCGCGTGCAAGTAGGGAAACTTGGCATCGTCTTCGATCCAGTTCTTAAACTGGTCGCGACGGCCAGGCGACGCGGCCGCGCCGCGGAAAGCGTCGATGAATCTGCGCAGAAAGAACGCATTCTGGCGCTCAGCATCGACTTGGACTGCGACCTACGATCATTCTCGGTCAGGGCGACTGCGATGTGACATTGCAAATTCTCATGCAAGGGAATATGGATCATCCCATTGGAATTTGGCCGCGGGAGGAAGCAACATGGAAGCCGAACCTGACTCCGCGCGTGGCATGCCTCGAGAACAAACACGGGCAGGTGCATGGCGGGAAGGGACTTGATGGGAAGGTGGTTGGCTTTCGCGTCGGCCACGTCGCGTTGGGTTTGAAGGTCGCGCAGTCGCGTCAACAGTTTGCGGGCAAAGTCTTCGTGGATGCGACCTTTGATCGCGGCGGGGGGCGCGTCGTCCTTGGTCACGGCAAGGACGTTTTGCACGTGGCAGACGTCGAAAGCGAGTAATTTTCGCTGCGATGGAATGCCTGGTGATCCGATCAGGATATGACGAGAGAATGAGTGCGATTACGATCGATGGCGCTTGCAAGCTGATGCTCGTGGAGCGACGTCACGACGAGCTCGTCCACCGACGACACGCGAGACTCGGAAAAGAGGAGGTAGCTGCCCACATGCGGCTCTTTCACCACGCGCACTCCATGTGTCTATGTCCCAGCGATGGCGTATGAGCAGCGCCATCACTGTAGAGGAATCGTACGACAATGATCAAGAAGAAGGTGGACTGCACGTCCACGGCTGTCTCGAACGTTGCGAGCTCAGATTGGAATTCAATCAACGACGGATTCACGAGCAATTTGCACGCTTGGTTGAGGAAGCCGCCGAGGGCAGGATCACAGAGCACTGTGTGAAGGGTCGTCGCGGCGGCGCGAATGCCGTCAGGAAGGGGAGGCGTGTGTTTGAATGCGGTTGTCACGACCACGAGCCCGACAAACGTTGCTGCGCCGACGTTGGGAGTTGGTGGAAGTAGGGTATTTGTGGCTAGCGCCGGCACTGGGGTATTTGGTGGTGGCTTGACAACGGCGGGGGAAGTGGAAGAAGTCGTAGCGGCAGCATTGGGAGCGCTATCGATGGCTTGATGGGCCATGTTGGTACGAATGGGGGTCGGATGCGGATAGAAATCTTGAAACGATTTCAGGGTCGGCGTTGTCGCGATGGGTGCCGACGTCTCTGACCGCAGATCTGGAGCATTTTTTCCAGTGGCCTCGTTGAGCGCGCCGATGTTGGCCATGGACACGGCGCGCTCGACGCTTCGCGCTTGGATGTCGAGTTCCTTTTGATGCTGCTTGGCGGCCTTCGCCTGGTACTGTTTCCTCTTCAAAAGGACTGCATGAAGCGCTTTTTGCACGGCTTCGTCCGACGACGTCGCCAGGTCGTCGTACGCAAAGGGCTCGTCCGCCGCCTGCATGGCACGTCGTCGACGCGTTCACGGCGTTTCGAATGAAACTGCCGTAACCGCATCCCATCGACCTGTCTTTTTTTCTCAAAATTCTCGAATTTGTTGCCACATGGTGACGAAATATTCCCTTCAACGACTCGACTCGTTTTTTGATTGTTTTAAAGTGCGATGCCGCCGATGGCATTCGCGGGCTCTCTTTTTCTAATCGTGTCTTTGTCTATCTCTTAGCTCTGCAATCTCTGCTCCAAGCACCGTCGACGACACGTCATTTCGGTGCTTCCTTCTCGAACCTGTTGTCAAGAACGTGGTCCGGCCACTCGCCAGACCGAGCGGTTGGCCACGAGGCGTCGGCCGTCGAAGTTGAAGCTTCAACTTCGCCACTCGATGGGGGACGGGCCAATCTCGTGGCTCCCCTTGCAAAACTCAAAGTTCGAAGGCGACAGCGCAACGCAACACACCAAACCAGGTCGATGTGCCATCGACGTCCCACTTCCCCGCTCCCTCGGTCGTTCGCAACGTTCGTCGTCGTTGCACACCCACTTGACCAACTTCATCGCTGCGACTCATCCGCCCCCTCACGAATGCCCCCGACGCCTAGGGTAGCGCGGGCCGTCGGCGTCTCCATCTTGGCGTATGGGTCGCCACGGCGTCGAGCCACCCTCGGTGAGGTACTGTAGGAAAGTATCTTGCGGTGGACGTCCTGAGGGGGGGCATACAATAATCAAGTCAGTTGCCCATTACAGGGTGAGTCACGGTCGACGAATGGACCAATCAAACGTCCGAACGTTTGCACAAGCCAATCAAATCGCTGGAAAACCGATCCAGAGGCCATAGGTGGATCTTTCCGCGCCTGTGATTGGTTCATTTGGCTTGAGTGGTGAGGAGGTACTATTGTGAGTCGGCGCTATACTTGGTATTTGTATGGTGTCAATGCCACCTGGCGATTTGGATCGCGTTTTTGAACTGACAGTGGCCGATCAAAAAAAGATCGAATTTCCAACACGTAGCATGGGACGACGACGGGCAATTAATTGCGTCGTACGTACGAATGGATCCGGTGTTCGTCCGGTACGTTCGATTTTGAACGGGAAAATAGAATGCCAGGGATGGATGAGCAATGGACGTACGAGAGCCATTCGACACGCGGTATTTTTAAAAGCCAGTAAGAAGTCTACATCATTCTAATAATAAAAGAGACAGCAGTTTGCAAAGCTTTCACGCCATCGCAAGGCGGCAACGCAGCACGCGCGAGATTCAAGGTGCGTCGTCGACCCGGCGGCGGCGATGACAAAGCGGTCGTGGTGATGATGGTGTCTTGTCTATAGGTCCTTCTAGCTTGACCCATACCTAACGAGTCTGCGTCAAGCCGTCCCTGATTGGAAGCATCCGGCGTAAATTTGTACATGGACCACATGGAAGTCGCAACAACGACCTCGTGGGAACAGCAACACGTTCATCATGACGTGCAGGACACCCGTTCGGGATCGTCATACAGTGTTCGAGACGCGTCGCACGAGCCAACGTCTAGTAATGGGTATTATCATCAATATGTTGCTCAACACCACGAGGTACAATCCTCGCAACCAACTCGCACAACCACGACAGATTGCTCACAACTGTGTCGTTGAATAGGAACACCCATGGCGCAGCAAAAATGCGTTCGGATTTGCGACGATTTTGAATCGAAGCACCGAGCACGATGTTGGGACATCACCCGTGGGAGTGCCTTCGCTGCCTCCGTTGCAAGCGTACCCCATGGGCGGATGTCCCTCGACAATGGATAAGAAAGGGCAAACGCTGGGCAATCCGCGACCAACCCCTATCGCGCCTTTGGGCGACGATCTTGGCGGGAGGCGATCATCGCTCAAGCTCAAGATCAAGAAGAAGCACGTGGACATTACGCCGTCGACCGCGTCATTCCATCAAACCCCGATCGCACCTTCAACTCCATCTGTCGTTGGTCCTGGAAACTCGAGAAAGTTGCCGCTCGCCCCGGCTCCCTCCATGGTCAATGCAAGTCAAGTGGTCGACGATGATGATGACGAGAGCGGCGACGACGGCGAAGACACGACGGTATCGGCTACAAACGGCGCGGCGCTGCGAGGTGGCCGGTGGACGTCCGAAGAGCACGAACGATTCCTCAGTGGATTTCGGCTGCACGGGCACAAGTGGAAGCGCGTGCAGATGGTTGTGCGGAGTCGCACCGTCACACAAGTCCGGACTCACGCACAAAAGTACTTGCTCAAGCTGCAAAAGATCTCGGGGGAGCCGCGATCGTCGTCGGACATCACGTACATGCAGTCGTTCGGGCAGGGCATGAACAATGGCGCAACGTCGCCGACGCAATCCGTGCAGGGTCATGGCACCCATGATGACGTGGAAGGGCGAGCCACGGGCCAACACCCATCAACATCGTCTTCGCCACTGCCTCCGCCCCATCAATTGCTGTCGTCTTTATCCCGCAGCCGCACTCTGGCCGAGTTAGGGCAGCACCAGGACGGGTCCCAGCCATACCCCGTGTCGCCCGACGTCCTCTTGCCCACAGAAGAGTACGCTAACTTGAGCCCATCGTCAAAGCCGCACCTCAAGCGGCAGCATTCACATCAGTCATCATCTCCTTCCATGAGCATCCTCGGCAGAAAGACCAGCGGAAAACCGCCCATGAAGCGCGTCAAGAAGAGCTCAAAATCGGATGCGGGGTTCATCGAAGAAGCCGCCTATGCGTTGTGTCGACTGATGGCTCAGCAGATCGACGACCTCGAGATCACGGACGTTGAAGAGAACGAGGATGATGGGAGCATGGACGACGATGGCGCTGGAAGTGACGACTCGAGCGACGACCTCTCGGCCCGGCAGTCGGCACTAGAGAAAGCGGCGGCGGTCGTGCAACCGAGCCAGAGCCGGCGGTCCGTCGCAACAGCGACCAAAAAGCAAGAAGCGAGCAAAAAGCGATATTTATGCCGCAAGTGCCGCGTGCCAAAGAAGGGTCATGTGTGTGATGCGGTGGGAAGCCAAGACGACGACGATGACCCTGCATCCGCCGCCAGCAAGGAACCGGCGGCGTCCAATGGCGATAAAGTAGATTGGCGACAGCTCAACGAAGGTATCGACCAAGGCGGCGACAACCACGTGCTGCATATTGCCTACTCTTCTGCTCGTACCTCAAGCCCACAGCCCTACACGTGGCTGGACAAACAGACCGACCAGACTTCGCCCTTCCATGCGGCCCACGAAGATGGGACCGACACCAGTGCCCTGTGTTCGTCCCAAGATGCCAACATCTAGTCGACGGAGAACGTGCAGATGCCCCCTCCGGTGCATTCGAACGGAGCTTTCATGTAGCAATAGAACACACAATACTATAATAGACGGTCCTGTACAATGTCAACGGTGTCACGAAGGCCAGTGCACACTCCGCCGACACAAATTCGCCTTGCACGTTCGGACCTGATGCTCGTCTGGCGTCAGTGCGACGGTGGACGGGGGCGCGATTGTTGCGATATTGTCGGTTTGGACTGCAAGCAGCGATGCCATGTCGTCGAGCTCGGCCTGCCATTGCTGCTTTTGACAGGCATCTTGTTCGAGCGTCCACGCCTTTGTAGTGTGTCACGTGGGCGAAACATAGAGGGAGCACGCGTACTTTTAACATGGCAGCATGGGCCAGGTCCAGCTCGCCGAAATTGAACTGACAATGGGCCAACGTGGCGAACCCGTCACTCCACTCCGGACATAGTTCCGTGGCCCGTGTCGCAGCCTACCAAGCGCTTGATGGGCCACATGTCGGGTACACATCCGCACCTCAATGCCGCGGAAATAGTCGTTAGATGCAAGGTATGCTTGGGCTTGGAGTTCATACAATACGCCATTGTCAGGGTCGATGTCGAGACCGTGCTGGAACCGTGCGACGGCCGCTCGAAACAGTCCTGCATATCAACGTCGTCACAAAAAGACACCATTCTGGCGACTACCTGCTTCGGCGAGAGTGTTTCCCTCGGCCTTGAGTCGTTTGACCTTGGCTGCAGCGTCTTCCAACGACAAGATATGAGAGGAGGACGGTTGCACATCCATCGTCATGTCAGCGTAGTCGTAATCGGACATGCCATCCAACTGCGTCTGGGAGAGGAAGGCCGCACAAGGAGTTGCTTTGCTTGTGGTGTTGGCATGGTTGGAATCGCAGTGCTTCCTTTTCTTGGCGCCCAGACGCATCGAGAACGCTGCAGGTGTCGGATCGCGCTGCGTCATTGCATGGACGATTTTTTTATTGAATTGCACAGATGCGATACCATTGGTTGCTTTTATGACCAATCAAATGGCCTAATCTCGTGCAAATGCTCAATAATCCAAATGATTCGCTCAAAAGAGTGGATAAATAAACCAATCAAATGGCTTTGATGGTAAAATCTGTCCAATCAGAGATCGAGAATGATTGGCTGAGATAACTCTATGCCCGACAAAGTTCAAGCAAACCGCGACCACGATGAAGCTCGACGTGTCCGGGATGCGGTATCTGACGAAGGAGCACTTCAAGGTACTGACGGCGGTGGAATTGGGCATGAAGAACCACGAGATTGTCCCGGTCGAATTGATCTCTTCGATTGCAAAGCTTCGCCATGGCGGTGTGGCCAAGATTTTGAGTCACCTGCTGCGCAACAAGCTCATCGCGCACGACGGAACAACGTACGACGGGTTCAAGCTGACGTATATGGGATACGATTTCCTCGCGCTCAAGGTGTTTATGAAGCACGGACATATCGCGGGCCTCGGTCGCCAGATCGGCGTTGGAAAAGAGTCGGATATTTACATGGCTGTGCAGCCGGACGGCACGGAGGTCGCGATCAAGTTTCATCGCCTCGGTCGCACCTCGTTCCGTGCTGTCAAGAACGTGCGTGTGCAAAAGTATCGTCCAGATTGACGTTGTTCATGGGCGTTGTACTAGAAACGCGATTACCTCAAGCATCGCAAGCACGTCAACTGGTTTTACCTGTCCAAGCTGTCGGCGGTCAAGGAGTTTGCCTTCATGAGCGTACGAATGTCCATGTTGTTGGTGGGGGACGCCGCGTGACGTGCTGGTGGATGCAGGCCCTGTACGAGCGCGACTTTCCGACCCCAACACCCATCGACCAAAACCGCCACGCGATCGTGATGAGTTTGGTGAATGGCTTCCCCTTGAACTCGTTTCGGCAGATGGAAAACGCCAAGGTAGATGAGGCGTCGTATATATGCGCCTTTAGCGATTGGCAATGCGAACAACTCTCCATTTGTGACTAGGACGCGTACGACACGTGCATGAATGTTCTCGTTCGGCTGGCAGAGTGCGGGCTCGTCCACTGCGACTTGAACGAGTTCAACATCATGATTGATCAGGACGGGAAGATCACGATCATCGATTTTCCTCAAATGATCTCAACCAAGCACCTCAACGCGGAAGAGTGCGCTAGTTCACGTGCTCATGGGCATGGCTGACTCGTGGCGCCGGTAGGTTGTTCAACCGGGACGTCCATGGTCTTGTCAAGTTTTTCTCCCGGCTGCAGAACGGCGCGTATGTGCCGGACGAAGTGCCTCAACTGAGCGACATCGTCCGCGACGTGACCGTGAGCTTGGACACAGAAGTTCAAGCCAGCGGGTACACGGAAGCGATGGCGCAAGAGTTGGATCAAGTCATCATGGAAGGCATGGAAGAAGGCGGAGACGATGAATCGGGCGATGACAACGGTGAACTCGACGACGACGAAGGTGACGAAGAAGAGATCGACCCCACGCTGGCCAAGGAACTGCATGAACGTATTGATGCGTTGAAAAACAGACATGACGAGCCCGCCGCCCCAGGTGGAAGCGGTGGGGACGAAAGCGATGAAAGCGATGACGAGAATGAAGTGGGCGAGGACGAGGTCGATGGCTGCCACTCGACAGGCCACATCCCGAACGAACACGTTCGCAAACAGGTCAAGAAGACTCTGACCAAGCAACAACAAAAGGGCGGTACCCGGCGGACGCGAAACTCGTCCAAGCTCAGTATCAAGGGCAAACTCGTCCACCGTCGCGATGCGTTGTAATGAGAGTGCAGGTAGAATAAAGATTGATTGGATTAGTACTGGTTTGATGGAGACCTCATTGAATCGCACACGATGCACTCTGGGCTGCAGGGTCTCCCAGCTCTTTCATAGCCTTCACCACCGCGTTGTGCTTACCGGCCATCGCCAAGTCGAACGCGAGCTTGCCGTCTTTGTCCTTTAGAGTCGAGTCTGCCTTCCGTTCCATCAAGAGCCGGACCACGTCCGACTTGCCTGCTTCCGCCGCACCCATGAGGCTTGTCATGCCGCTCGTTGTCACAGCGTTGACTTCTGCGCCTTTGTCCAGCAGCACGATCGCTGCTTCCTTATGACCACTTATACATGCCCAGTGCAACGGTGTTCGGCCACTCTTGTCCGGCTACACGTACAAAATGAGAACGAGGCGGCGCCAAGGAGAAAGTATGGGAAGCCTACGCAGTTCACTTCAGCCCCCCTCTCAATGAGAATTGAGCACAGTTCGGCGTGGTTTCCCCCAGCCGCTCGATGCAACGGACGGCGGTCGGCTGCGCCAGGTGCGTTCACATCCATACTCGGGTCTTCCAGAATCTGCAACACCGCACCCTTATCGCCGTTGTGCGCGGCTTTGTGCAGCGGTGTGTCGGACGGCATCTTGGTAACCTCGGCGCGACGCCACACCAAGGGTCAAAGTTGAGAGTGCGCCGAAACGAACCCACGCCAGAAATAGCGACGATGGCGGCATCGCGAAACCGTCACGGTATCCGACCCCGTCCGGATAAACATCTTGTTGGATATTTTCCAAGTTTTCGGTGAAAATATTTCCACATTAGATAAAATTTTGTGTACTATTCCAGTAAATGGATCTGATATTTATATAGAATTGTGCGTTGTAAGTTGACCGGGGCGAAAATATACAGGAAATCCGACTACTCAGCCAAAAGCGACCACAATTACGTGATGAGGTCAAAGGACTCCACTGTAACGGTTTGTAACCGATTTCTTATCGTGCGAACGGTCGGACCCCATGCGCCTGGAGCAAATCTATGTCCGGCACTATCCGCCGGGGCTGCGTTTGTCGTCGCGGCAGTCCAACGGGTCGCGCCACCACAAGAGCATTGACCTCGTGAGCCTTGGCCCTGAGACGAACCTCCGGCTGCTGGTGAATCAACTCATTGAAAAGGAGGCGCTTCTGACGAAAGCGCACACCCATCGGCTTTACGACATCCTCCATGGTCTCATCGACAAGCAATGCATCGCCCACGACACGGAGTATACCCTCGTGAAAACCATCAAGGCTCACATGCAGCCCTTGACAAACATCTCGATCTCCAAGCAGGCCAACCTTGTCGCCACCTCCAGCTACGACAAAACAGCCAAGCTGTTGCGGTGGAAAGGCGGCCAAGACGACAAGGTCGTGCTCCGGGGTCACGAAGGCGTCGTATACTGCGTCGCGCTCAACACTCCGTACAGCTCGCACGCCGTGACTGGGTCATTTGACAAGACATGTCGAGTCTGGGATACCACCACTGGCACATGCAAGCAAGTGTTGGCAGGTATTAGACCAACGAACGACCCGTGAATCCATGCATATGTTACAGGACACGAAGGCGAAGTGGTGGCGGTGGGGTTTAATTCGCCAGGGACGAAAGTCGGAAGTTGCTCGATGGATTGCACAGCAACAGTGTGGGACGTCGCGACGGGCAAAGCCGAGTTTGACCTGACTGGCCATGCCGCCGAAGTGTCGTGCTTTGCCTTTGACCAATCGAAGTCATCTTCATTTATGGCCACAGGTACATTCATGTGCTTCGATCGAACGGTTGCGACACGAAATCCACATGGCCACCGAATGTGTTGCTTGGTCAGGCTCATGTGACTCGACTGTGCGATTGTGGGACGCTCGGTACGGCGAGTGCTTTCGTTCGCTGCATGCACATGCGGCGGACGTCAGCACCGTATCGTTCAACCACCAGAGCAACCTCCTTCTCACCACCTCGACCGACGGCACGGCCAAAGTACATCGCCTTGCCTCCGCACATTCGTCAACTCGTCATGTAGGTCTGGGATGTGCAGTCTGGCAAATCCCTCTTCATCCTCAACGACCACTCTGGGGAAGTCACAGGCGCGTGCTTCAACTCGACAGGGTCCCTCATGGCGACGGCTGGCATCGACGGCCACATCTACGTCTACGACACATTGACTGCGCAACGGCGAAGTCACTGCAGTGGGCACTCGGGCGAGGTAAGGTCACTGTTCACGAAATCCGGAAACGTTTTAACCGGATAGTTCCCAGGTCTTGCATGTGGCGTTTTCTCGGCAGGGCGGTCGCATTGTGAGCGCCGGCGCGGACCACACGTCCCGCGTGTGGCAAGCGCAGACTGGAGAGTGCCTGCAGGTGCTTCGTGGGCACGACGACGAGGTGTTTGCGGCGCATTTTTCATACGACGGCGCGGCGGTCGTGACCGCGTCCAAGGACAACGCTGTGCGCGTTTTCACGGACAATTCGTGACGTTGGCAGGGACAATCTTGTCGAGACTTTCCATGTCAAAACATATCGAATGCATGACACGAGAAGAAGATGAAGGAAGGATGGTGGTGATGCCTAATAGATATAAACGCGCGCTCGTTTAGCAACATCCGCCTTTGCCACCGTTGCTAGCTTTCGTCGGGTCGTTGCCCTTTTTGCCCAAGTTGACAACCAGGTCGCTCTTTTTGTGGGGGCCGCCTTCTTCCATCAACCGCGTCTTCACTTCGTTCGCAATCTCGATAAACCCACCCTCAACGTTGATGTTGTTTTTTGCACTCGTCTCGAAAAACTTAACGCCGTACTCGTCCGCCAACGCTTGGCCTTCTTCTGTGCTTACGACCTTGTCGTCCAGCATGTCGCACTTATTCCCGACCAAAATCTTGTTCACATGGACGTCGGCATGTTGTTGGATCTGACCAACCCAGTTGCGGATGCTGTTGAATGAAGCACGGTCCGTCACGTCGTAGACAAGCAAGATGCCCTGCGCGCCGCGAAAGTAGGACGTCGTAATGGTCCGAAAGCGTTCTTGTCCCGCCGTGTCCCAAATCTACCTCCCCATACAGTCCTTCAGTTCCACTGCGCGGGAAGCGGTTCCACGTGCACTTGTACCTGGAGTTTGATCTTCTTGCCGTCCAAGTCAATGTTCTTGACCTTAAAGTCAATTCCAATCGTCGTGATAAACGTCGGCGAGAACGAGTCGTTTGCGTATCGCAACAACAAACACGTCTTCCCCACGCCTACCGTCAGTCGTTGGTGAATCCTGTCGAGTCACGGTCGTTCAAGAGCTTCGTACCGCTGTCCCCAATCATGAGAAGTTTGATCTGCATGTCAAATGGGTTCTCATTGCGGGCCATGTCGTCGGAAGCGGCGCCTACGTCGCTCCATGAGGTCGCTCGCCCTGTCCATGAACGATGGCGTACCGAATGCAGCCGTGAAAACGCGAAATGAAAACAGCGATCATACAAACGGGAAGTGAAATTGAAACCCCTCGATTCCCGTATAGAAGTTTGTATGCCTAAGAATAGCATCGCCAAATAACTTCGCTTTTGTATACTGACCAAATACGACGTGTCGATTGGCTGAATCTTTGAACCACGACCGTTGATTGGCTTAGCTAGTTAGACACAGAGAACACACCACGTTGTGGTGTGGATTTCCGAGGCGTCGAGAAACCGCCGCCAACGATGGACGCATCGCGTCATGCGACGCGACCCCAGCGCGCACATACCAGTGCAGCGCTCCACGATTCCATGCACAGTGTCCTGCTCGACCTAGGTCTATGTGGACCACGAGAACTGGGTAGGGTTCGATCTACCTGTTACGTTTCTTCCTGCCTCAAGCGACGGCCAGGTGCGCTCTGGTATCCGATCACACAAGTGTTCCTCGCACAGCCATCACTGCGTATGTACATGATGTACATGCTGTTCATGATGGTTGTAGTTCGAATGCTTTCAACAGTGATGTTCGAGCTGACAGGGGTACTCTGATGCAATGACACGTTAGTGGCGCTGTTAGTGGAGCTTAGCGAGGCGCTCGAGGATTTCGGTCATTATAGCTCGGTTGCTCGGAGCGTTTAGGATAGGCATTGCATCGACTCCTGGATGGCAGCAGCAGACTGGGTGCCCTCTTTGCTGGAGCCCCCTGCCGACGAAAAGGCGACGGCAACCTCCGCTGCAAGCAGCCTCGGGCGCCGATTCATTGTCGCAGTTTTTGATGGGTTCAGTCGGCGATGTTCTCATGGTCCTTGTCGTCGTGGGGCGTCGGGACTGCTCGCACAATTGGTAAAGCGCGCAATGTGTCATGATGGTCCTCCTGCCGTAGGCAGGAGGACCAACTAATGTAAACCTGACAATGCACCGACAAATTTGATGAAATGGCGTTTGGCTATGATGCCGCAACGTTCGAACTTCAGTGCATTTTTGGCGCGTTCGCACAGAACGACTGACGTGGATGGATTCAGAACCTTCTCATCTACCGTCGCGCCAAACATGTTGACCGTGTCATCATGGGGTCAGTGGCCTCCCTTTGGTCTCGAATTGTGTGAAGCGGCATGTGGGTTTTTTCAGCGACTCCAACGGCGCTCGCGCGCGCAGCCAAATGCAGACCTCCTCCACACTTTTCGCATGTCCGTCCTCATGCGACCACAGAGGCAATCGCACGCATGCACGTCATGAAACTCGAGCAAAAGCAAACGTCATTCAGAATGAAGTGTCTTGGCGCTTTTTCGATATCGTACACTGCACACGGTGGGTTGAATTCATTTGGACTGGCACTACGGGGTCTTCGTGAGCACCTGAAAGTTGTTCACAACGAAGCTGCCTTGGTACTGCTCCTGCAAAATCAAGCGGAACTCGCCCCAGAAAGGGTACCCCGAGTCTGGGTTGAACCCGGCGGCACACGCCCCCGTCGGAGTCGTGCCCCAGTACGACTGCGCGTTGTTGTATATCTTGTCGGCGACAGTCGCGCCATCAAACGAGATGTCGTACGTCGAGTTCGGGCCAGGCTTGAGCTTGGCGTCCTGCGCCTGTTGGATGAACTTGCCATTCCCGTCCGACCCGAAAATCACCGTCATCGACGTCTTCCGGCCGTACGCGATGCTAAACTGGGCACCATTTGGGGCGACCATCGGCTTGTGGACTGTCTCGGCCGAAAAGCACATGGTCGACGCGATGTGGGTCGTCGACTGGCCAAAGTCGGTCAAGCTGCTGCCAAAGTAGTTTTTTGTGCCCGTGTTGCCGATCGCAGCGTCGCCGTTGAACATTTCAAAAATGTCGTACTCGCCACAGTTGGGCCACCGCGGATCGCCAAACTGGTTGACGAGGGACACGGGCAAGAGCCAAACGTTTGTGTCCGATCCTGGGTTCGATGTCCACTCGATGTGGAGTACCTTCTCGCCGCTCCATCCCTTCTTGGTACGGATCACAGGCGACTGCGCGAACGGGCGACCAAACGTCGACACTTCGATGGACGATCCTTTGAACCCGCCCATGGCCCACGAACAGTCGGCGCCCGTGTCTGCTTCCCAGCTCGCAAAGTTGGTCCAGTCGAACTTGGTGTCCGTGTACGGCAAGAGCTTCTCGGTGGGCGCAGGAGTAGGTGCAGGAGTCGGGGCGGGAGTAGGTTCAGGCGTCGGCGGGATCGACGTCGTCACTTCAGATGTCACGTTGTCGGAAGTGGTCGTGGCGGG